ATTCTTCTGAGATCGCTGATATTGATAGGATGGAGGGTCAGGGTCTTTTGTCGGTTCCCGTGAGGCTTAGGAGGGTGGAATGTCAGGCAGAGTTTGCTGAGATCGCCGCCATGGAAGAGATTTCGTGGAGACAGAAGTCTAGAGCTTTGTGGCTCAAGGAAGGTGACAATAATACTAAATTTTTCCATCATCTTCCTAATGCTCAGAGAAGGGGCAATAATATTGGGAGGATTCGGATAGATGGGGAGATGTTTAGTAAGGAGGAGGAGATTTGTAAGGGTTTTACTGATTACTTCTTGGAATTGTTCACTGAACCAGCTGGTTGGCGTCCTCTGCTTGCTGGGCTACACTTTGACTCTATTTCTAGTGAGAAGCCTTTTGCTTTGGAAGAGCCTTTTACGGAAGAGGAAGTTTTGTCTGCTTTGAAGAGCTGTAATGGGGATAAAGCTCCTGGTCCAGATGGGTTTTCTGTGAGATTCCTTTTGGAGTGCTGGGAAGTGGTCCGTGACGAGGTGATGAGCTCTTTTCACGCCTTCCATGTTCAGGGTTCTTTTGAAAAAAGTTTGAATGCCACCTTTCACGGGAGTCTTATGGCAGAGGGGTTTATTGATTGGCTAAAAACTTTTGAATACCCTGCGATACCCTATGATGCAGGCAAAATTTCAAATTCTGCAAGTGGAATTTATGTTTTCTAGCAAGCTTTCATATTTTGAAAGTTTCCTTATTTTGATTAGTTTTCTTATTTTCATCAGCTTTCTTTTAGAGTAGTTTTCTGATTTTCCTGTTTTGGTTTTATTTTATATTTGGTAGTTAGTTAATATATGGCTAGGATTGGGGAGGAAGAAATTCTATATAAAGCCTTGTAATTTTTAGGTTCAATCACTTTTAGTTGAAGAGAATATTTTTAAAGCAAATAAAATATGCTTTGCAATTTCTCCTTTTCTCTTGCATCGTTATTTTTCTATTTCATTCCAAAATTGCTATGAAGACAATTTGATCATCACCTCTTGGTAAGGCGGCATCAGTTTGGTATCAGAGCTTTGGTTTTGACTTCCCGACTGCTCAATCATGCCTCCACGACAACTACCGAGAGGAGGAAATCGTAGAGTGCAGGTTCTGGCCGAACCCCTACCCAAGTAACATGAAGACAAGATAAAGTTTTTGCGGAGACAGGTTGAGTTGTTGACTCAACTATTGGGTTTGATGACAATGTTTTGGTGGATGATGATGTATCAGACACCAAGACTATCACGAAAAAATCGTATTTTTCATGTCGCCATAGATCACTCGACGAGCGGACTGATCGTTATTGGCCGACAAATATCAATTTCCAGATTTCTGGTTTTCATGAAGAGGATTTTTTCAATCCTTTTTGCAGCAATACAACACCTAAACCAACACCTATTCTACTTGATGAAAGTCGTTGGGATGGTGAGTTTATGGAGGAAATTCCTGAATTGGTAGGAAATTTTGGTGGAGAAGAAAAACAACTTTTGATCGAGGAAGATGATGCAACCCCAATGGTCAAACCAAAATATGATGATTACCTGGAGGAAAAGGATGATATCATATATGGAGATATAGGTGAATTCTTGGTCATGCAAAAGCCACTATTAATTCCAAAACATGAGGATGATAAGGAAACTACAAAAGAAGGATCTCAACATGAAGTATGCGTGGTTGATCATGAAGATTTTGGATCCATGCAAATGAAAAACAACGGATTTTACTTTTATGATATGGTTTGGGATGAATTCTTAGAGAACAATACAAATACTAGGCAGTTGTTGGAAGAAAAATTAAAGTTGATTAAACTTCTAGTTCAGGATATCGAGTTTTGCGAACCTACCCAATTTCAAAATTCATGTTTGTTCTGAAACTGTATTCTTTGTTAGTATAAGAAGATTAACGTATTTGATTTGAGTTCGGAAAAGAAGAAAGGAGGGAGGGAAAGCCGTGCTTGGATTTTTGATTGATCGTGGAAAATTGCTCCAAACTCGAGGGCAAGTTTTTTCCAACACGGGAAGACTGATGCAGGCAGAATTTCAAATTCTGCAAGTGGAATTTATATTTTCTAGCAAGCTTCCATATTTTGAAAGTTTTCTTATTTTCATCAGCTTTCCTTTTTGAATAGTTTTCTGATTTTCAGCAGCTTTCCTGCTTTGGTTTTATTTTATATTTGGTAGTTAGCTAATATAAAGCTAGGATTGGGGAGGAAGAAATTCTATATAAAGCCTTGAAATTTTTAGGTTCAATCAGTTTTAGTTGAAGAGATTATTTTTATAGCAAATAAATTTGCTTTGCAATTCTTTGTAATTTCTCCTTTTCTCTTGCATAATTATTTTTCTATTTCGTTTCAAAATTGCTATGATGACAATTTGATCGTCTCCTCTTGGTAAGGTGGCATCACCCTCTCACAAGAAGGTCAAATTCACAGCTATTCGTTTTAAAGATAGAGCATCGGCATGGTAGGACTACAGAATATCCGGAAGCATAGGGGTAAACAAAAGATTGTAGAATAGAAGAAGATGAACAAAAGGTTGAAGAAACAATTTTTGCCTTTCAACTATGTCGAATCGATGCACCAACGTTTGCATAATGTGAGGCAAGGATGCCGTAGTGTGGAAGATTACACTACAGAATTTTTTGAGTTGCTAGCACGCAATGACCTATCGGAGAGTGAAGAACATATTGTGGCTCCCTATATTAGCCGACTAATTCCCAACATACAAGAAGTTCTACTCTTGCATTCATTTTGGTCAGTTTCGGAGGCTTATCAACGAGCTTTGGTGGTGGAGAAATGATGCAGGCAGAATTTCAAATTTCTGCAAGTGGAATTTGTCTTTTTCAGAAACTTTCCATATTTCAGTTTCCTTATTTTGAGTAGTATTCTGATTTTCATCAGCTTTCATTTTTGAGTAGTTTTCTAATTTTCAGCAGCTTTCCTATTTTTATTTTATTTTATATTTGGTAGTTAACTAATATAAGGCTCGGATTGGGGAGGAAGAAATTCTATATAAAGCCTTGTAATTTCTAGGGTTCAATCAGTTTTAGTTGAAGATATTATTATTTTTCCAACAAATAAAATTTGCTTTGCAATTCTTTGCAATTTCTCGTTTTCTCTTGCATTGTTCTTCTATTTCGTTTCAAAATTGTTGTGAAGACAATTTGATAGTCTCCTCTTGGTAAGGTGGCTCTACCAAACCAATTTGACCATCACCCCTATCTCAATCCCCTTGAACTGCTAAAGACACAAGGACCAAAAAATGAACACTGGAAATGCAAAACTCAATCCATCTCCTCCATCTCTCTCTGAACCCCATCCTCTCAAGCAAGTAAAGAAGAAAGCTCCAACTAACATGACCATAAGCTTTCTCGATATCCAACTTGCACAAAACACTAAGGACCCCACTACTCAATCTAGAATCCACACACTCGCCAACAATTAGAATTGAATCTAAAATCTGACGACCTCTAACAAAAGCGTTTTGGAAGTCCAAAAATGATCCTGTCCAAGAACTCCCTCATTCTACCTACAATTATATAGGTGAAGGGTTTTGATTATTAAAGAGCTCAATACATATTGTTTGGCCCATTTCCTAACAGCTTAAGATTTTGACACATGGATATCCCACTTGATATTAGAGTTTTGACTCTCATATCCTGAATTCAAGTCCCTCCATCTACATTTGTTTCCCCAACCTAAATTGTCTTTTTATTCTCCTTTGTCCATCTATTTGACTCTTCATGTATGAGAGGAGGAAGCTTTTGTGCAAATGGTTGTCCAACAATTTTGAAAAGAGTAAGGATTTACAGTTTAAAAGGGAGAAGAAAGATTCAATATGCTGTAACTATAGAGCTGCAAACTGGGGACAACAATTAAAATTAGGTGTGAGGTCTTACACTAAAGATCAAAGGGCAAAGGAAAGGCTTATAGTTGGTTAAGACATGGTATGTTAAGGTTTTGGGGATGACATAGGCACTCTTTAGCAACATGCAAACAATAAAATTTAAAGACGATGTGCCAAAGCCTAGATGGTATAAGCTCTCCTCCCCCTTTGCAAAGGTTGAGCATTCGAGCCCCGGTGGAGGCAAAAATATATAGTGGGTGTGTGTGTGTGTGTGTGTGTGTGTGTGTGTGTTTGCTTGAACTTTCAAGGGGAAAAAACTAAAAAAATAATAATAATTTAAAAGGAGAAAGAAGGTGAAAAATTAAGAAGAATAATCATCCAAGAATCCCACCTAGATTACCTTAAAAATTGTCCTGAAACATCACACAATTTTAAATTATTTAGAACTCAACTCTACTAATAGCAAGATTTAATAGATATCAGAAAGTTTTCTTAAAACACAAAGAATTTTATTTCCAAAATTTAAAACTTGTATAATTTTATCCACAAAAGGCAATCTTAGACCATATAAGAACCCCTTATAATGACCCAATAACATGGACTCAAGAAAGGACTCATGGATCACAACTAATGCTTATGTCTAGCAAATAAATAAACAAACCTAAAATTTCCATGACTCCTAATTCTACCACCAGCACATCAATATATACCTGACATAAACTCAGATTCAGTTTAATTATAAAATTAAGTACACAAAGTCAGGGAATTCTCAATATGAAATTCCCGACTTCCCCATTTCTTAGCATTCTCTGCATCAGGACTGGCATTGAAGGTGCAGAAAGGGGTCATAACAACTGAAATGGTAATGTTAATTTAGAGTCACATGCACACAATACAGTAATCTCTGAAAACAATAGAAGGCATCATGGAATTTCCTGCTGCTTCCCTGGGACATCAACTCCTCGCATAATTTTCAAGAGCTCAGTGGAAGTTGTGCTATTCTCATTCCATTGAAAGAAAAGTAAAGAACCCCATGATGTCTTGAAATTAGTAGAAGTAACCAAGTCAAAGCCAACCAACAAAACAAAAGTAGGGCATCTAGTTGAAATCACAAGCACAATCTCAACAATGAAAGTTTAGTCACTTTGCCTGATCCAGGAGCTTCTGAGACATAGCTGCAAACCTCGCAGAAGTTGCAGCAACATCAATACATAGAAGAATCTAGAACGAAAAACAAATATGTTAGCCTACAAAGACGTCTCACAAAAAGTAACACATTAGTTCAATAGATAAGTTCTGCTTCCCCTTAACATAGAGGAAGAAAAACATTGACAATGCTTACTGCAGCCAAAGGACCTAGCTGAGAACGCAAGGAAGAAAAGTCTAACTCTTGAACAGCAGAAGTTCCATCAGCAGCTCGAGACACCACATCCTCTACCTTGAAAGAGAACAAAACATATAACCCACATCTATCACGTGATCATAAATACAAGTATAGGATAATATAAAATGAAATATATATATATATATATATATATATAAAGTAGAGAGAAGATTCAATTTTGAAGGCACAAATAATATAACAAACAAGAAAAGTATTAAAAGCATTTAAATTTAGAAACCAATATCATATACAAGTTAGGGTAGAACAACATGATCCAGGCAGAAAAATTCTCCATTTGCTTGGTGGTAATCAAGGGTGTTGAAGGATTTAAATATTAAAGTTACACCTCTCTAATAGCTTAAGCTTTTGGAGTAGATGGCAGTTAACATAGTATCAGAGCCAAAGTCTCGAGTTCAAACCTCACTGTCACCCTGCTAAAAAAATTGAAACACGTGAGGAGGCGTGTTGAAGGATTTAAATATAAAAGTTACACCCTCTCTAATAGAGCCTTAAGCTTTTTTTTTTTTTGATAAGTCTAATAGAGCCTTAAGCTTTTGGAGTAGACGGTAGTTAACAAAGGGCATTTGGCATTCCTGTTGAAAATTTAATCAAAAACCTATTGAACAAAAAAAATTTACTAATTGGAAGTACAAAGGCTGTCATCACTTGCCTTATGCCAGAAGCAGGTTATGGCTTTGGACCAGTAGAGCAACTAGAAGCCCATTTGATTACCAGGCCATAGTGGTCTGAGAGGGATGCGGCAGACAGAGAGTCATTCCCCAATAATAGAAGTCAGTGCGAAGGCTTGGGATGATGGGTTTGAACACAGGTTAGGACCATTGGACTAGAGGTACTCCTAGCAGCAAACTTGTTTGAAGGGGCCCCCATAGAGATGCAGGAGCCACAAGTTCGTTTTTGCTTGTGTAGTCAGAAGAGAAGAAAGTGAATGAACTGAGAAAGCCATTCTCTTTCTTTCCTAACCTACATGGGAAGAAGAAGCGCCTGAAGAGGGAGGCCCCTCCTCCATCAGAAAAACAGAGGTTCAGTCTTGTCTTTGGTCTGCCTTGGCAGAAACAGCGGAGGATAAGGATCTCTCCTGGCTCGTGACGGGGGACTTCCAAAGGTCAATCTATTCACTCGTCTAGATAATATTTTTCCTTGTTCACTAATAAATCAAATAATTGAACTCATGTTTCTATAATCAATTTGATTCCCTGACTACCTGGCAATTCAAGTGTCAGGGAAGTTTGACTATGGTGACGCCCCTTTAGATCCAAGGAAAGGTCCTACAGTTCCTAGTCATTAACACCATTATTACGCTTGTTCCGAAGGTAAAAAATCCTTCCTCCTTAAATGACTTCCGCCCATCTCTTGCTGTAGTACGCTTTATAAAATCATCTTGAAGCTCATAGCTAACAGGCTCAAATCCTTTCTCCCTTCTTGCATTCATGTGAGTCAATTTGCTTTCATTCCTGAGTTCATGTTTCTACAATCAATTCGATCCCCTGACTACCTGGCAATTCAAGTGTCAGGGGAGTTTGACTATGGTGATGCCCCTTTAGATCCAAGGAAAGGTCCTAGAGTTCCTAGTCGTTAACACCATTATTACGCTTGGTCCGAAGATAAAAAATCCTTCCTCCTTGAATGACTTCTGCCCATCGCTTGCTGTAGTACGCTTTATAAAATCATCTTGAAGCTCATAGCTAACAGGCTCAAATCCTTTCTCCCTTCTTGCTTCATTTGAGTCAATTTGCTTTCATTCCTGGACATAACATCTATATAGTCATATGATACCATGTGACTGTGCCCCACTTGTTGGCCGAACCAAACAGAAAGAAAACACTAAGAAAGACTAAGGTTACTCCAATCAACGTCGGAGCTTAGATTTCTATAGAAAAATCTAGAAAAAAAAAAAAAAAAAAAAAAACGAAAACAAAACAAAAAACCAAAAAAAGAGCCTGAAGAATTGTTTAGAAACAAAGAATTGTTTAGCTTCTAGACTGAGGAAAGTTATGGATGGCATCATTTCGGATTCTCAAAATGCTTTTGTCGGTGGTCGTCAGATTTTGGATTCAGTTCTTATTGCAAGCGAGTGCGTGGACTCCAGACTGCGTAGTGGGGTCCCAGGTGTTCTGTGTAAGCTGGACATAGAGAAGGCATATGACCATGTGAGTTGGAGCTTCCTTCTCTATCTGATGGAGAGGATGGGGTTCGGTGATAGGTGGAGGAGATGGATTCACTTTTGCATTTCCAGTGCTCGGTTTTCGATTCTTGTTAATGGTGCTCCTTCCGGTTTTTTCTCTAGCTCAAGGGGCTTGAGACAAGGGGATCCTCTCTCTCCCTTCTTGTTCTTGTTTGTGATGGAGGCCCTTAGTAGATTGATGAGAAAGGCTTCAGATTTGGGTTTTTTGAGGGGCTTCCGGGTGGGCAGGGATGTTGCTTCTCAGTTGGAGATCTCTCATTTGATGTTTGCTGATGATACTTTAGTTCTTTGTGATGCGAATGTGTTCCAGATTAGATATTTGAGATGTGTTTTGATTTGGTTTCAAGTTGTCTCCGGCCTTAAGGTGAATGTGGGCAAGAGTGTTTTGGTGCCGGTTGGGGAGGTCCCTGAGATTGAGATGTTTGCTGACATTCTTGGTTGTAGGACTGGGTCATTTCCCATTTCTTACTTAGGTTTGCCTCTGGGTGCTCCTTCGAGATGTGTAGGAATTTGGGACCCAGTGGTGGACAGATTTGAAAGAAGGCTAGCGGGTTGGAAGAAGCAGTATCTTTCCAAGGGCGGCAGGGTCACTCTGATTAAGAGCACCCTCTCTTGCCTCCCCACTTACTTTATCTCTCTTTTTCAAATTCCCTCTTCAGTTGCGGAGAGGATTGAGAGATTGCAGCGTAATTTTCTTTGGGGAGGTAGAGCTAATGAGTTTAAGTTCCATTTGGTGCGATGGGATCAGGTTTGCAGGCCTTTTCGAAATGGTGGGTTGGGTCTCCGTAGATTGGTGCCATTTAATAAGGCCCTTCTCGGGAAATGGTTGTGGAGATTTGGTGTGGAGAGACATTGGCTTTGGAGGAGGGTTGTGGTGTGTCGTTTTGGGGAATTGAGAGGAGGGTGGAGTTCCTTGGAAGTGCGGGATCCTCGGGGGGTAGGGGTCTGGAAAGTGATTCGGAAGGGTTGGGATGAATTCTCTAAACACATTCGATTTCGTCTTAGAGATGGGAGGAGGATTTGCTTCTGGGAGGATGTGTGGTGTGGAGATGTTCCTCTCGCTCTCGCTTTTCCTCAGCTCTACAGGATTGCTTCGGATAGGCAGGCCATGGTGGTCAACTGTTATCATCTTGATAATGGGAGACTGGTTTGGGATGTTCGATTCAGGCGTCACTTTCAGGATTGGGAGATCGAGGAGGTCATTCGCTTCTTGGAGCTGCTTTATCGCCAAAGGATTGTGGAGGAGGATTCGGACTGTTGGTCTTGGGTAGCAAACTCTCATAGGCGTTTTGAGGTGAGGTCCTTCTTCAAGTGTCTCTCATTTGATCCTGATGTTCGTTTTCCTTGGAAGTCTGTTTGGCGCTCCAAGGCTCCTCTCAAGGTGGCTTTCTTTGTGTGGTCTTCGGTTTTGGGAAAGATCCTAACCCAGGATAATTTGCGAAGGATAAGCCAAGTGGTGATCAATCGTTGTTTTATGTGCCTTCGTAATGAGGAATCAGTGGATCACCTTCTCATTCATTGCTATGTGGCTAGAGAGTGTTGGGATTTGATGCTTGGCTTATTTGGGCTTTTTTGGGTTATGCCTAGATCTACAAGAGGGTTGATTGAGGCTTGGAGAGGTTGCCCTGTGGGGACTCACAGTCAGGATGCGTGGAGGGCTACGCTGCTTTGTGTATGGTGGTGCATTTGGCTTGAAAGGAATAGGAGATATTTTGAAGGAAAGGCGATGTCGATTTCGGTGCTTAAATTCTCGATTATTTCCACTCTTTTTTGTTGGGTTTTAGGGAGAGATCATAGATCTTTGGAGGAAATTGTTGATTTTTTGGCCTCTTTGAAGGATTGAGTGGCTTTTTGTATCGTTCTTGGGTTCCGCTCCCCCTTGGAGTGTTTTTTTATAAAATTTTTTATTTATCAAAAAAAAAAAAATATATTTCAAAATTATACTGCTTTAAGACTTGGTTCCTGATTTGTGTTCAAGCCGTTTTTTAAAATCTACTAAATTTCAAAAGAGAGCTTTGAAAGCTCGTTCAAAGGTATTCTTTGTCAATAACAGAAGATTAGTATGTTTTGTTGAAGTACAGAAAAGAAGAAACAAAAAAATAGAGGGCCCTGTTTGAGTTTTTTATAAATCGTGGTAAACTGCTTCATACTCGAGGGCAAGTTTTCTTCAAGGAGGAGGGTTTTATGCAAATAATTAATGGTGGTTTGGAAAGTGTAGTCAAAATTGATGCTGTCAATAGTGCCTTGAAAAATGTCCTGTCAAAGATTATTAAGTAGTAATTATTGTATGGGAATCTGAAGATGTCATGGGAATGGTAAAAGTTGTTATTAATGCTTTGTGAATAGCTAAAAAGTCAGTCTTGAAAAAGTCACCATTAATAGTTGTCTTACAAAAGGGACGGCCCTCTTATTTGCTGAAATCAATCTAAAATCAGTACAATTCTGAAATATTATTGGTTTACAAACAATTCTTCAGGCTTTTCCAAGAAGTCCATAAAGAAATCTAGGCTCCGACATTGATTGGAGTAACCCTAGTCTTTCTTAGTGCTGTAAGAAGACTTCTGTTCATATCTGTTTGTTTCATTGGCACATTATATAATCATCTTATGTAGGGCAGACAACAAGCAGTTGAGGTAAATTTGGTGTGCCTCTATATTTCGAGACAATTTGTTGGATGAGAGTTAATTTGAGCAAGAGTGACCTTATTTTAACTCGGAAGGCCGGGGATGTAGAGGTGCTTGTTATTAATATGGGGTGTAGAGTGGCTCTGCTTCCCACTTTGCATTTGGTCCATCCCATTCAGATTGTTGCTCAAAGGAAAAGCAATTTGGGACGCATTGGTAAAGAGATTTTAGGGGCAGCTAGCAAGTTGGGAGAAGCAGCATCTATTAAAGGGGTAACCATACACTCACCAAAGGCACCTGTCAATGTTACCTACATACTTCATGTCTCATTACCGTCCTGTTTTTCCAGCAGAAGATGTTGCAAAAGCAGCAATGGAATTTCTTGCAGCAAGGGAGGGGGGAAGAAGCACAAGTACCATTTGGTGGACAGGAACAGGGGCTATCCTGTTAGAGGGGGACGTTTGGGTTTCTAAAGCATGATGCCTTTTAACCGAGTATTACCAGGAAAGTAGCTAGGGAGGTTTGCTGGAGAAAGGGAAGATTTGGCATTGGGCGCTAGAAGAGAAGTATGTATAGAAACCCAATACAGCACAGATATTGAGATGGGACACACACACACACACAGATATATATAACATGAATACGCTAACACGTCAAAACCTAAAAAAGTAGGATAAAGAAACGTTTCTAAGTATTTGGATCCTTTGCAATGATTTCTCTCTCCGAGCATCTCCAAGCCATCATCCAACGGTTATAAACATGCCACGTCACCATTTTTGTTTGGATTTAGTTATGAATGGAACCATAACATAGTGGGTAGTTGCACAACTGATGATGTGACATGTTTATAACCGTTGGATGGTGCTTGGAGAGGGAAACTATTGGAGAGGATCCAAATCCCCATACTATGTTTTTGTCATTACAATTATATTCTTATCATACAAAAAAATAAAATAAAAAATTCATTGCATGCCTAACTTGTAATTACAATGTGTATAAATGTCAATTGTTTTTTCCACAAGACAAAATAAAAAAAAAAGGGGAAGGTTGCTCAATTTAAAGTATATCGAAAAGAGTCACACATGACCCCTTTTAAGATGTGTCTGTGCTACATAAGATTTGTGCCAGAGTGTTTGGAATGTGATAGTAGTTTCCAAAATAATAAAATTCATTTTTTTTTTTTTTTGTTAAACAAACACATGAGGTGTCAAACACGTGTCTAGGACTGTCCATAAAGTTTCGGTATAGACAGTTTAAAACACAGAAATGGCACCTTCAGAGAAGTGCATGTGCTTCCTAGCAAAAAGGAATCAAGTATATATGTTACTCTTTAACTCAATTTTCATGAACTTCAATATGGTAAAACACTGGGAGGTTTTCAAAAGTCAAATCAGGTTAAGAATCTGCTGCATTAATGAATGTCATCATCATCATCCTTGCCTCGAGATCCTACTATAATTGGGTCAGACATTTTGATTCAAATCTTTTAGTAAAAAGAATTGACATTGGTCATCATTATACCTCCAGACAAAACAGAAATTACAAGAACAAATCAATGGACGAAAATTTCTCCAACTCTTTCAAACATATCAAGAGAACAATCAAACACCAACCCACCGAGATGCAGCTATATGCTAAATTACATGAAGTGAGATTTTTGGGTGCAAGTCCTAGTGTAAGATTCATCTATTCTTCAAGTCTTTCTTCGTCACTGCCCTATAATAAAATGAAGTGTCAGGAACTGTAACAAGTTGGATGGATACTTGTCATTTCTAAAGGACCATGTAGCAGGGAAACAGATTAAAAAGGTGCAATAGAAATTTTGTAGTGAATTAGGAATGTGTTTCCCTTGCCCTAAATGGCTATGCTTGCTGGTTTTGTTCAGCAGCCAACAAGTCAGATATAAGTCCCATGCCCAAACCCAAGTTGCCTCACATTTGACACGGGTATTTAAATCAATTTGAAGAATCCAAGTACACACACACACATGCAGACATATACATATATACATATGTATATGTATGTATATATCCATACATATACATACATATATACATAGCCATTCAACAAAGCCAAATGAAATGATTCACCAACCAAGTATGTATCAAACAATTAACCATAAAATGACAATTCCAACAAAAGCAAGCAACTGAGAATTCCAATATATCCTAGCAGAAATAATTCAATTTATACACACACATATATCCTAGCAGAAACTAAGAAACATATAAATCAAAAACATTTGCCCACCACCAAGGGCCTAATCCAATTGGTATTTCCTCCTACCAAACGGAAGGTTGAGGGTTTGAGTCCCTAGTGGGACAATAATGGGCACATGCATGATTTAAAAATAAAATAAAATAAAACATTTGCAAAGAAAATTTTATCAACTGATAAAAAATCACAAGTTTGGATCATACAGATGCTCTTCTGGAGGCGCCATCTACCCATTCAGCCAATTCAAGTGTTGCTTTATCTTCTGGAGGTAAGGAAAACCGATGGACAGCCTCTTCTCCAATGTCATACTTCGCCCTTTGCATGCAACTGCACAGTAAAAAAACTTCAAGCCTGTGAGTGTGACTTTTGAATACACACCATGTTCAGAGATTTATACAAAGGAAATAAGAAAAGAAGATAAAATGACAATTGCATGCCTGCATTAGTATCCCAAGATGTGTCATAAGATAAAATTATTAGAAATAACATTATATTTAAATAATATACAAGAAGCCACTAAAGGCCCAGTGGGGCAGCAGGTCCACTCAACTTATTATATTTTCAAACTTTAAAGTCAAAATAACATAATCACAAGTAATATTTGACATAATTATTATTATTATTTTTTTTTTTTAATAAGTAATAATAAATTAAAAAAGGCGTTCAAAAGGGGAACGCGTCCCGTAGACATAAAAGAACTCGAGGTCTAAGGCCCCAAAGAATCCAAAAAAGAAATTAAATCAACAGAAGAGGAACACGAACTTCTGTTCACATAACTAAAAAGAGAACGAAGAACAAAAAGTTTTAGAGTCGCAGTAGGCGATTCCTTCCCTTCAAACATTCTAGTATTTCACTCTTTCCAGATGCACTACCAAGTACAATGAGGAACAGATCTCCAATAAGCACGAACACTCCTACTCACACGACAACCTCTCCAAGCATGAATCAGCTCCTTAGTAGAGCGTGGCATTACCCAACACATGCCAAATAGGCCAAGGATGAGATTCCAGCAATCGTGCGCTACAGAGCAATGCATTAGGAGATGATTGACTGACTCCCCATCCCGCTTACATAAGCAGCACCAGCTAACAATAAGATTTCCCCTTTTCCTCAGATTATCGATCGTCAAAATCTTACCCCAAACAGCAGTCCATACAAAAAATGCCACCCTAGCAGGAGCCATAGAACACCAAATAGTCTTCCATGGAAAATCATAGGATGCAAATTTAGACAGACATAAGAACAAAGATCTTACTGCAAAACGCCCGTGAGGGGAGGGAATCCAAATCAAATTGTCAAAACCCCTTCCAATTCCTTCTTGCCGATACAATTGATCCAAGAAGATGGTCACCTCTTCGAACTCCCAATCCTGAAATGAACATCGAAAATGAACATTCCACGTAATCCCACTATTATCAAGCTGATAACAATTGGCTACTATGGCATGTTTATCGACCGCAATACCATATAATCTGGGAAATGAGCGACATAGAGGCTGGTTCCCACACCAAAGATCTTCCCAAAAACGAACGCAAGTACCATCACGAACTCTGAATCTGATATGAGAGGATAAGGCATCCCATCCTTTCCGAATGGGGGCAGCAGGCCCACTCAACTTATTATATTTTCAAACTTTAAAGTCAAATAACACAATCACAAGTAATATTTGACATAATTATTAATTTTTTTATTTTCTTCCTTGTACGCAAGTTTATAACCATGCATATCGAGTCCTAATATAACTATACTGAACAACCTATTTGTGTTCAATTCCCTCACTCTGCAATCCAAATCAAATATAAGCAATAACTATCTCTACTATATTAACTCCGTCAACTACCTCTTACTTTTCTTTTCCGGGAGTGGAGTTTAGTTTTTGATTGTAGTCTGTAGAGAAAGAGAGCCATCTGTATATACCACTCAACTATCTAGCATAACAATTACTTTCTTCTTGCACAAATACCCTACCAGACCACCATGTTCTAAGGTGCTTCTGAAATCTCAATGCACCAACAGTATGGCATAAACCGGGCCCACCTACAAATACTGTCCTGTTCAAATTTGATTATTCTGCATTATCTTAGTAATAATAAACTTGCTTACTCTATATTATCTTATTTAAACATGAATTATAAAACTTGATATGATAGAATAAAAAATACTAAGGGAAAGAGTGATTGGAGAATCAAGTGTCAAAGAATCAACTTGGATTAAGGCTAGGAAGGCTAAATTTTTTTTTTTTTTTTTTTTTTTTTTTTTTTGATAAGTAAATATGCATTAAGAAAGTGTTCAAAAGGGGAACGCATCCCTCAGAAAATACGAAAGGCCAAATAGGGCCTCTAAACTCTCAAAGAGTCCAAAAAATAAACTATCTCATCCGTGGATTTACAGTATCTCCCAAGAACCCAACAAAAAAGAGTGTTAACGTTAGCATATATGATACCACGATTTATGGAATGACTTACCATAATAGCAGAGATTTGACTATGCATATGTTAGCATTTATGATAGCCACGATTTATGAAATCACTTACCATAAAAGTAGAGATTTGATGATGTAGGACAAAGGACAGGCTTAAATTTATTAGAAAGTAAATAAGAGTTATGGGCTGGAAATTCAGAAACAAAGCTAAGATTCAGGGGTTGTTAGTAGAAAAGAAGGATTGAAAATAACAAAGAAAAGCCTATTGGAATCACTCCAATAGGACCTAGGTATCACACCTAGAGAAGGCCTCACACCCTCAAAATTTGTGAATCACTCACAAAGAAATCCCAAAGGATAATTTTATTCAATCATTCGCTGAGTATTCAAAATTACATAGTATCCTTTTATAATAAAAGATGACCCTTGGATTACCCTACAATGGAGGTAATCAAAAGTTGACTCTAACTTAATAAAGTAACAAATAACTTAAATTACTTAATTGATGCAATTTAATCTAATTATGCAATTTACCAAAACAATGCAGATTTTCCATAATTAATGCAATTACCAAAATAATGAAATTTGACCAAACCCCCTAAATTATGCAAGACTTCAAGTGGACCCCATCGTCTAGCATGTGCCAAATTAAGGTTTGAGCCTTAGAACCCTCCTTGCCACACCTTTTATATACTTTAAAAGGCTGTTGCCACTGTTCTCTACCATTTGACTATGCCATAAAATATGCTTTAGAATATGTTGTGATTTGATTTAGATTTGATTTAGTTTCCTTTCTTATAATATGAGTATGTGCTCTTTTTATCTATAAATACTTGAGCTGTGAATGAGTAATTCATCTCATTCAAGCCTTTACATAATTCTCTCCTTTTTTCTTCTTTTTATATTTCTACTGTTAATAACGGAGAACTTCAGCATGATAATAGGAGTCTCCTTTCCTTCAAAAGAGTGCCTATTTCTTTCGAGCCATGAACACCACCAGACGCAAAGAGGCTTGACCCTCCAAAAATCACGAGCTTGGGCCCCCACTATACAACCTCTCCAAGCCTCTACCACGCCTCTGGACGACCTAGGCATAACCCACTGAACCCCAAACAAAGACAACATCAGAGCCCAGCAATCCCAAGCAACTGGGCAATGCAAAAGAAGATGATCAACTGTTTCCTCATTTCGCAAACACATGCAACAACAATTGACCATAACATGTCTCCTCCTAAGATTATCCCGTGTCAAAATCTTCCCAAAAACAAATGTCCAAGCAAAGAAGGCCACGTTGAGAGGAGCCTTAGAATGCCAAATAGCCTTCTGTGGAGGCTAATTACTTACTGAAAAGACTAATGGAAAGATATAGAGAGAAGAAGAGAGATCTCTAGATGGTTTTTATTGATTTGGAGAAAGCCTATGATAAGGTACCTAGACCTAAAATGGAGGGTTTTAGAAAAGAAAGGAGTCACAAAGGGATACATTGCCGTAATAAAGGACATATATGATGGTTGTGTGACTACATTTAGAACGCCTGCAGGGGAAACAAGTGAATTCCCAATTATTGTATACTTGCAACAAGGGTCAGCATTAAGTTCAAACCTTTTTGCCTTGGTTATTGATGAGCTAACAAGAAACATCCAACATGAGATTCCGTGGTGTATGTTATTTCCCAATGATATTGTTTTAGTTGAAGAGAGTAGAGAAGTTAATGCCAAATTAGAGGTTTGGAGAGAAGCTTTAGAACTAAAAAGGTTTAAGATAAGTCGAAATAAAACTGACTATATAGAGTGTAACTTTAGTAAATCTAGAAAGACAAATGGGGATGTAGTGAAGATTGAGAATCAAGAGGTACAAAAATTGAACATTTCGTTGTTTAGGCTCAATTATTCATAATGAGAGAAGATACAAACTGACATACAATTTTTACTGCATAGGTAAGATCAGGCTGCATAACTGTGAGATGCACTAAACTACCAACTATAACTCAATACAAGGTAGGATAGGACCAATCAAGGGAACACCATCAGAGGCAGTGCACCAAACACTGAGCTCTACAGGAGTCTCAATTGTCTTGGAATCTGTGTGAATAACCTCCTCTACATACTTGGACTGAGAAAAAAGAAAGCCTTTAAAAGAGGAGGCTACTCTTTTTTTTTTTTTCCTTAGTTGGTACTCACACACCCATGCCTCCACTAAGGCTTGAACCCCTGACCAGCCTTTGGAAAGTTGGGGCTTGGTACTGCTGGGCCACCAGCCTGTTGGTAGAGGAGGCTACTTCGATGCCAAGGAAACATAAGAGAAGGCGAATATCCTTCATCTCAATTTGTTGTTGCAATTGTGACTTCAAAAGAGTGATTCCATCAGTGTTATCACCAATTGAATCATTCATCAACATATAAGAGAAGAATAATACATCCAGCAGAAGTAGAATGAAAAAAGAGAGCTGAATCATGATCACTGGAATGAAAGCCTAAGCCACATATCGCTGAGAGAATTTCTCAAACCAAGCCCTAGGAGTTTGTTTGAGGACATACAACGCCTTCTTAAGTTTACACATGTAAAAAAGAGAAGACTAAACTTGAGCACCACATCAAATAATTAAGTAGCCTCACTAGGTTGGTGAATCATTCTAATTCCACGAAGCAAAAGATTCAACTTAAAAAAAAAAAATTTAAAAAAAACTAAAAACAAAAAATAAATAAATAACAAACAAACAAACAAACAAAAAAAAAAAACAAAACATGCAGCAAAATATTCAGAACAAGCTTGTGGAACTGGGGAATATTTTTTAGAAGCTTTCCAAGATAAGCACATGAAAAATAACATTTCAAGTTATCATCAGAAGAAAATGCTTACAGTCCTTGTCACACTACAAATTAAAAAAATGTAAGAATAAAAATAAAAAATACTAGTTAACTGAGTAGCATCAAGTAAATAAGCAATGCCTTGCACGAAAATCATGAATAAGAACTACAAATTGCCATAAGAAACTTTAAACAAAATTCAATCAAACTTACAGATTGAGAAGTTTAGATGGGGCCGCACGTAATATTGTTAATGCTTCTTTCCATCTCCACTGGCGTTCAGATAATGGCAGAAGACGTTGCAAAATTGACAAACGCCATTCCCAATCTTCAATAAAATGTTTCGCGTCCTTGATTCTCCACTCTAATGCTTGTATTCCATCAGTACTAATGTTGCCATTAAACATATTTTCTGTCTCAAATACAGCAGATGGTAGATTCTGGTGCAATATTTCAAGTAACAGCCCTATAAAAGATACAACCATCTTGTTTCCAGCCTCATATGTAGCAGGATCAGCATGTTCCCAATTACAACTATTAGATAACTCAGAATGGCTCCTAGGTGAAGCACAATGTGTTAAATTGAGAGAGAGACCATCCATGTGTAAAAGCGAGATAATGATGTTCACCATACAAATCTGCATCATGTAAAATTCAATATACATTAGCAAATAGACTAATGAGAGAGAAAGAGAAAGAGGTTCTAGACAACCAGTGCTAGAGAAAGGTGGTGCCAAGACAGTGAAGCAATGCCAAAAAAAACAACAAAGGTAGGAAGCAGCGTCAAAAATGGGAGAAATGAAAAGAAAGAGGGAGTAAACGCCTAAAGGAAATACAGATAATTGAAGAAGCAGGTGAGGCAAGTCATGCTTGGACAAGTCAAAGAGGAAACGCAGAGGAAAAGGTAATAGAAAATGGAAAGGTGATTCTCTGCGGATAAACAAACTACAATTACTTGATTCACAATGAAACAAATAAGCATTCAGAGTTCAACGAGAGAAGTAACAAAAATTGCAAATTCCGTTGATATATTTATGTCAGAATTAGGTGCATCTCATATGCATTTTTGAAACATCATATATTTCTGAGCACACGTTTTAAACCAGCTAGCTCTGCTTTTGCCCTAAGTGAGGTGCCATGTACAAGCTGACATCAATAAAATAGCCTCACTATACGAGTGATGAATGAATATCCCATTCAAGAAATAAATGATGTTCAACATGTTCAAATATGCAAAAGCAGAATAAAACCTTGCGCGGAACATTGCTAATCGCTTCAAGATGTTTCCGAAGATCTTTCAAATAGCATACAGGCATTTGGTAATGGCTTCCTGTTTCATCAGTCTTGCTACTTTCCATGGCTCCCAGAGCAAGGACAGTAAATTCCAGCGCATAACGCATGTGCATAAGTTCAATATCTTGCATCCTACCAGAAGTATTTCACAATGATTATCGCAGTTGATATATACACACACACACACACAAGGTGTGAACCCAACAAAAAGAAGCTTCAATAATAAACTCGTGCATAGAGCAGTTTCAAAAATTTATAGTTGCGGATTTTTTTATTTATTTTTTTTTTTTTGGATGAGTGAAGTTGCAAATTAATTGTTAGAAGGAACAAGTAGCAAACACCAGTTGCTTAAAATTGTAAGTAACACACACCAGTTGCTTAAAATTGTAAGTAACAAACATCCGTGACAAATATGCAAGCTCTAGCTAATATTACTACATACCTATGTGAATATGCAGTTCAATAATAAATTTGTAGAAGGAAAGAAAAGGGGGATGTGCTTCTGTAGAACTTAAGGGGAGATCCAGTAAACAATTACACAAGGTGTGCAACCATGCAGACACCGAACTTGCCAAATGTGCAAAAGCATACCACTTCCGTGCAACAAACATTAATACTCAAGCAGGGTGCATCCTCAACCAGCACAATTATAAAAACCACAATTATGGAGGATGGATATGGATTCAGATGCAGGACACGGGTCAGCTTGACACAGACAAAGTCATACCACAAATCTCAAAAAAATAAATAAATAAACAAATAATAGGACATGGACACGAGAAGGAAACGGCAATAAAAAATAATATCTAAAATTTTTAATTTTTGCACATTTTCTCAACTATATTCATAAACATAGACCATTTAAGTAAGGCACACCAGATATCCCTTATAAAAAAATGTTAAAGGATTTAAATATTAAAGTTACACCCACTATAAAAGCTTAAGCTTTAATAGTAGATGAAGGTTAACATACCTCTGTATGTTTAGTCCTCTCATGAAATACCTGATTACTAGTAATATAAATAGCTGCCTGATTATCACAAATCATTCTCATAGGCTTGTTGTTGGAGAATCCAAAGATCAAGTAGGAGATGTACTTACCAAGGCATTGGGAAGTCCCTATTTTCAGAATTATGCAACAGCTAGAAATGATAGATATCTATGCTCCAGCTTGAGGGGGAGTGTAGGGTAATAATGTAATTAATTATAAGAGTTGGGGTCACTATGTAAATTTGAGGTCATTATGTAAATAACCAATACTTGTGTGTGTGTGTGTGTGTGTATATATATATATATATATATGTACATAACATTTAGGGTTCTCTGTATTGAAAGAATACCCCAAGAATATTCTCTCTCTGTAACTCTCCACAACATATATAGGTCCACTGCCCACAGGCAAAAATCTCATACAATTACAAACAAACAAACATATATTCTAATATCCAAAAGGCACAAGTCTTATCCATGTGACCCAAAAGGTTGAATAGGAAGATAAGATTATAATATTTTCCCCGCACCTCTCTCTCTCTCTCTATCTCTTCCTCACTATCTCTTTCATTCACGTTTCTCTCTCTTCCAGCCGCTGACTCCATCAGTCCATCCCCCTCCATTCCTTCACATTTTTCCATCTCTATTTCTCTGATCTCTCCCCACTGATAGTCTCCCTCTTTGTTATAATCTTCTACATCTCCCCTTTTTCTTATACATCTCTCGTTCTACCAAATTCAAAAGACAACCACTCTCACTCGCATCTACAGAAAATTTCATATTGAACAACAGAGGTGGCAAAGGAAAACTCGTTCTTGGCAAAGGAAAGCATAATCTGTATAATCTACATCCGAAAATATTCTTGTGTACACGTATATGTATTGCATTAGTTTATAATGTGATCTGTACACACATATATCATCTTCGTTTTTTGTATTTAAAAAGGGCGCAAACGAGATGAGCCATGTCCCAAAAGTGTCCCGCTGTGCCTCTTCCATGTCCTTGTCATATCCAACTAAGAAAAAATTCGTTTGAACTCCATGGCACTCCATAGCTGTGTCAGACACATGTCCCACATGTGTCCGTGTCGGACACGTATCTGACATCACCACAGCACTCTCCAATGAAGTGAGTGTGCTTTCTAGGTCCACAACCATATGGTGGAGAATTAATTGTCAACGTTTTATAAGATAATATCAAGTATAAATGAAGCATAGTACCAGAAATATCTTTAAGCCTATAACACATCAGAAAACTTGCATCCACACCTTTTCCAGGCTTCTACAGTAGAAGTAATTGGCTGCATGCTAATCAACTCGATTGCATCTTGAAATTTAATGCCTGGAACTACATCGAACAAAACCTACAAAAAAAAAAAGAAGAAGAAAAAAAAAAAGCACATTCATAACAACAAAGGAAAACCCGAGAAGAGACAAGCGTACTTAGAAATGGCACAAAAGCAAAGAGTTCCACTAAAAATATCACAGATATGCTATTCTTTTAAAGCTAAAAAATAATAATAGTAAGGCAGGATTACAACAAAAGCGCAATGAGTCCTTGGATTACCAAGAAATACAATCAAACTTGGTAGGCCAAACACAGGCAACTATTGGTAATACAAGAACTCCAGAAATCACGAATTTAGAACATACCAAAATCAAATCTATATAGGGAGCACTCAATTACCAACAACTAAACCATGGTTCATATTTGCAGAACCCCAAGATCTCAACATAGCTACAGCTCATTTGTACACTATTTTATATATCATATTTCTATTAATGCCATTTTCTACTCCTATATGAATAGTGACTTATCATCACATTCAGTGTCAAAACTGTTGCCACGAATGAAGTGGACTTCCTGAAATTTTCCAGCATGTCTATATCCTTAATACTTTACATTTTTTGAAGACGTTGACGACATTTTAGTTTAATTTTCAAATTAGAAAAGTTCGTTGATATTTTGAAAAAAAAGGACAGTTTTTCCAGTTTCTCCAACGTAATTGACATAATGAATATCATTGGCACGTCTACAGACACAAAAGGATACCCATGGACATCACTGCTAATGGATATTCTCATAATTTAGTTCGCCATGCAGCATATAGTAATATTAGTCTTTTGGAAGCTCAATTGACTGCATTAACTTCAAAAGAAAAATGTCAATGGCAACATTCCTGTCACTTTTTGCTCCTCCTAGACTCTTAATAATGTCATTTTTATCAGAAAGAAACTAATGATATCATTTTTCTAGTTCAAATCTACAACGGTGACTTTTCATAGGCAAATGAACCTGCATTTAAAAGTCAAAAAAGAAGATAATGAAGACGAGGAAGGGATTGCACTGATATAAGACAGTGAAGGTGAAGAAAAAAGAGTACTCAAATATGAAAAAAAGAAATTATGACTGATTTTGATATGGGATAATGATGACTGAAAAGGACAGCTTCACTTAATTGCTACAATTTAGCAGCTCTATACAGTTAAATTTTTTGAAAAGAAGACATCAGATAGTCAATTGGTGAGCAGATCCGCAAAAAACTAGCGGCATGTTCCATCAAAAAATTGATCATACAGCCTCTCTCTCTCTCTCTCTCTCTCTCTTTAATTTTATTTTAACTTACCCTCAAAAATCATGCCAGCGGAGTGGTGTAGACAGATACTCATTTCTGGCAATTGGTAGGTCTTAAATCTCGTGTCAAACCAGAGGCTGCAACAACTCATTTCAAAGTAGTGTGGAAACTATCATGGAAACAATGAACTCCACATGCGTACAAACTAAATTAACCAAATATATATATCAATGCATAAAACACACCAACATTTAAAGCCTGTATTGTAAAACAAAACCATATCTCAAGAACAAAAAAAAAAAAAAAAAAAAAAATTAAATGAAAAGCAGATGATATTTTAGCAGGCAAATCATGATGCCATGGTCTTACAAGTTCACAATTAAAGCGGTCTTACCCGAAGTGGACTCTGAACAGATAGTCTTTCCAGCACAAAATTTTCGACGAAAGGGTCCCAGAGAGCATCTTCATCTCTATATCCAATTGATTCTTTTCCAGAAATCAGTAATGAGGATTTTGAATTCCAAGATTGGCCAGAATTGACACAGGCAACAAAAGAAGCAAGATCAAGCTGATAACATAGAGAATCACAAAGATGTTCGACACAGGATACCTGTCAAAATAAAAAACAACTGATAATAAGATCATGCTACTAATTAATTTTTCAATTAAAACAAAAAAACAAAAAAAAAAAGGTTACTTCGGTTAATTAAAATACAAAAGAAGATGAAGGGAAGGATAAGGTCTCCTTCGAAATGAACATAAACAAAAGGAAAAATATAACAGCCAACCAGAAAAGCCAAATCTCTTCCCTAGTACAAACTCAAGTTGAGTTAAAGCAATCCTTAAATGGTTGTAGTGAATTTTCTTCCCAATCGCTAAACAATTCGTAGCAGATGATAGGATCCAATCTCCATCCGAAATAAATCTCTGATCCCATAGCTCATGCATTAAATACGCGTACTGCAAAGAACCCAAACAGACAAACTGACTTTGTCCAAACTAATGACCACAGTAGAATCCAGTTCAACCAAGATACTAGAAAACCCCAGAATGAACTGGCTCACTCTAACCTTCTAAAAGAGAGAGAATCTTCCTAAGTTCCCTTTCTTTCTTTTTTTTTTGATTAGTAAAATTGCATTAGAAAGCGTTCAAAAGGGGAATGCATCCCAAGAACCAAGAGCAAAAAAAGAAATCCTAAGGATCCAAAGACCCTAAAAAGTCCAAAAACTCCTCAACGGAAGAACAATCTCTCCCCATGCCCCAACTAAAAAGAGAACAAATAATAGCATCCACTTCCTAAGTTCCCTTTCATGGAAGATCTTTACCAGCTCGTCTAAAGAAAGCAAAATTTATCAGGCTAGCATCCATTTCCAGCCCGGTAACCCACAATCACCAAAATACAAAGAACCAGAACTTTTACTCCCACCTCTGAAAGCCGCAAAAAGAAGGCACAAAAAAAGTAGCAAAATTGAGATTTCTTTAGGGATGCGAGGTTATCTCCTTCTTTTTTTCTTTTTCTTTTTTTTTTGATAAGTAAGATTTTATTGAAAATGCTCAAAAGGGGAGCGGAACCCAAAGGAACACAAGGGCCTAAAGGCACCTCAAACCTTCAAAGAGGCTAAAAAAACAACAATCTCCTCTATAGATCTATAATCTCTCCCTGAGATCCAACAAAAAAGAGTGGAAACAATAGAGAACTTAAGCATAGAAATAGGCTTCTCCTTTCCATCGAAATATCTCCGATTTCTCTCAAACCAAATGCACCAATAAATACAAAGAGGCGTAGCCATCCAAGCATCCTGAATGAGAGCCCCAACAGAGAAACCTCTCCAAGCCTCAAACAACCCTCTAGAGAAACAAGGCATAACCCAATGGACCCCAAATAATCCAAGCATCAAATCCCAACAGTCTCTGGCCATGCTGCAATGTAAAAGAAGGTGATCAACTATCTTCTCATCATGCAAGCACAAATAACAACTATTGACCACCACCTGATTCCTCCTCCTCAAATTATCCTGGGTTAAAATCATACCCAGGACAGAAGTCCAAGCAACATCGGGCTTCGAGTCTTCTTTCCATAGCCGCTAAGTTTGCCCAATTTCAAGTTTTGAGATTTCTTTAGGGATGCGAGGTTATCTCCTTCTTCTTCTTTTTTTGGTAAGTAAGATTTTATTGAAAACGCTCAAAAGGGGAGCGAACCCAAAGGAATACAAGGGCCAAAAGGCGCCTCAAACCTTCAAAGAGGCTAAAAAAACAACAATCTCCACTATAGATCTATAATCTCTCCCTGAGACCCAACAAAAAAGAGTGGAAACAATAGAGAACTTAAGCATAGAAACAGGCTTCTCCTTTCCATCGAAATATCTCCGATTTCTCTCAAACCAAATGCACCACCAAATACAAAGAGGCATAGCCCTCCAAGCATCCTGAATGAGAGCCCCAACAGAGAAACCTCTCCAAGCCTCAAACAACCCTCTAGAGGAACAAGGCATAACCCGATGGACCCCAAATAACCCAAGCATCAAATCCCAACAGTCTCTGGCCATGCTGCAATGTAAAAAAAGGTGATCAAGTATCTCCTCATCATGCAAGCACAAATAACAACGATTGACCACCACTTGATACCTCCTCCTCAAATTATCCTGGGTTAAAATCTTACCCAGGACAGAGGTCCAAACAAAGAAGGCTACCTTAAGGGAAGCCTTAGAATGCAAAATAAACTTCCAGGGGAAAGGGCCTCCGGTGCGAACCAAAAGGCACCTAAAAAGGGACCTAACCTCGAACCGACCCTGAGAGTTGGGATCCCAAAGCCAACAATCTGAATCCCCAACTGTGATCACCTGTCGATACAGAACCTCCAAAAAACGAGTAACCTCTTCTATCTCCCAATCCTGAAAGTGGATCCTAAACTGAACATCCCAAGTCAGTCTCCCGTTATCAAGGTGATAACAGTCAACCACCATGGCCTATCAATGAAAAGCAATCCTATAGATCCGTGGGAAAGCGAGAGCAAGGGGAAACTCCCCACACCAAAGATCCTCCCAAAATCTGATCCTCCTACCATCTTTGATCCGAAAACGAACATGTTTGCAGAAATCATCCCACACCCTCCAAATGAAAGTCCAAACCCCCACCCCCCTAGGACCATGCACCACAAGAGAACACCACCCACCACTGCTTTCCCCAAATTTGCTCGCGATAACTCTCCTCCAAAGCCAATGTCTCTCAATCCCAAACCTCCAGAGCCATATTGAAAGGCAACAACCTCCTAATCCCTAAGCCTCCATTCCGAATCGGATAGCACACTTGCTCCCACCGAACCAGATGATACTTGAACCCCCCCCCCCCAAAAAAAAAAGAAATTGCACTGCAATCTCTCAATTCTCTCAGCCACTAAAGAAGGAATCTGAAAGAGAGAGATGAAATAAGTGGGGAGAAGGTTATCTCCTTCTTGAAGAAATATATTAGGTAGGGTAGCTAATGGGCCCACCCAACCAAATATAGATAATGCTTGTAAAGGTAAAAATCCCAAAAAAAAAAAAAAAAACAAACCTCACAATAAACAAACAGATGCCAATTCGTGTTGGCATGTCATGTTCGTGTCATGTCAAAGCATAGGTATTTTGTTATGTGGGTCGACACGAACATAACACCATTATTACATGGGTAACACGACACGACATGCGTAACACGTTTAATAAATGGATCAAGACTTAACACGATACGAAACGAGACGACAAGGCACGTTTAAGTCATTTCTGCCACGAACACAATAAGTTTATTGAACACGCTTAGCTAAATAGGTCATTTTTAACACGAACACGACACGTTTAGTTAAACGGGTTAATCGGGTAATAAACGGGTTGGCCGCTCTCTACAGCATAAATGGAAATCATATGCATAAACATAAATGCCAAAACAGGGCATGAACAGAAAATGAAAAGAAATGCAGAGAATACGGGAAACATAGAAAAGGGCTGTGGACTAAGAAGAAGAAAGTCTCTAGGCTTACTCCTTTACCGGAACTTTTTGGATCACCAGAGGTCGCTCGAGTTTTGTAAGTCGGAAAAATCCCAGCCACGAGCTTTGGCCAGGCATAGGAACTGGCCGAGAAGGTCAAACAGGAGTGTAATTTGTAACAGGCACATCAAATATTCCTCTGGAGGGTTTAAACACTAACACAACACGTTTAATTACCGTGTCAATTCCGGTCGACATGAACACAGTTAAGCCAAACCCAAACCCACTTATCCCATTTCTTGTTCGAATCGTGTTAGCGTGTCGTGTCAAATTTTGCCACCCTTATTAAAAATTATGTATATAGAACAAAATCAAATTCTAATCATTTTCAGTACTAAAGCAGTGAATATAATCCAACAAGCACTTGACAAAAGGGAGAGGTAAGCTCAGACATTTTAATGATCATTTAAATTTCTGAAAAAAAATATAATTCCAAAAGATGGAACCATAAAAAGCAATTCGAAGAGGAAAGAGAAGCCTAGATGGGACAGCAAATGGAAATCTTTTCTGAAAGGGTAATCTGCCCCACCTATTACTCCTAAGTGTGCACATATAGAAGAATGTCACAGCAGAAAATACCCCATTCAAATGGGATTAAGGCAAGGATGGTGATGTCACAGCAGAAAATAACTAGTGATATCATGTTCTGGGAACTAAATAATTACCTCATTTGATTGACTACCATATAGAGACGACTCTTCCAGCCGTAAAACTTGTGACTTAGTTGTCCACAAAAGTTGCATCAGTTTCCTCCTTGCAGTTGTTTTTCCAGATAATAGATCCCAACCCATGACAGCAACTACGGGTTGCAGTCGGGGGAACAATGAAAGAACCTATCAGAATGATGGGTGCACTATATTAATGAACTCAAAGCAGCAAGTCGACAAACAAAAAATAAATTAGTGAGTTCAAATCATATTGAACACTCTCATGTCCATATTGCACAATCAATTTTAAGCATTACACAATACACACAGACAAGTAAGAAATAAGTTAGTTCGGATCATATCAAGCATTCTCATTTCCAAATTGAATAATCAATTTTGAGCATTATACAATACACATACATTGCTAGCTTCTTGAAGCTGCTCCCTCCTGACAGCAGACAGGGCAGTATCTATGACACATTCCAACACATTAAATCCAGAAATACGAGCACTATGGTACATCTCTCTCATGCAAGAACAGATTGCCATGCTCAAGGATAAAGTATTGTCATTTGAACTCGTCTCAGGTTTCAATTCAGCAATAAATTTTTGAAGACGCTCAAGAGGGGGTAGAATCCAATTGTTATCTGAAGCTCTATACATCTCAATCTCTTCGGACAGCAATTCATCATGAATAACCTGTAGAGAAGTATAATCCATAATAGTTTTAGAAAATTAATGCCGTCTTTGATCAGATAGGATAATCCATAATAGTTTTAGAATAACCTGTAGAGAAGCATAATCCATAATAGTTTTAGAAAAATTAATGCCATCTTTGATCAGATAGGATGACCATAAAATTCAAATAATGACATTAACAAGGTGGCATCATTGTCTTAAAACAACTATACATGCTTTAAAAAAATAATACTAATAATATCTAAGCAGATAATAATCCACCAACAATTAAGACTACTATAACTGACAATTCTTGTTACCCTATCATATATAGAACTATTTCTTCAGATGGAGAAGCATACAAAGGACCAGAAGTTCCTTTTCCAATGAGATGCGATCTACCATAAACTTTCTTCTTTCCCGACATCCTTTGTAAGTTAAAACATCTCCTCTTGAGTACAAAAATAACAATTTATAAATTTAACTTTGAATAGGCTTCACTTGACTTTTAAATCCCAATAAATCTTTTTTCTCATTTTTTTTTTTTTTTTTGTTAAAAATATTGTTATTTCCTACTTTTGCGTATTTTAAGTCACAACTCAACTTTTTTTTTCAAGAAACAAATTCAAGAGGAGAACTGTAGAATACAAGCTGGAGGACTGGTTTAAAAATATATATATATATCCTCCCACACCACACCGCCAAGGGGGAAAAAAAATCAGACAACTAGCACTTTAAAACTCTAGTTTAAAAACTATAAGATAAAACGAGGAAGAAAAACAAAGACAACTGTAGTTGATAAGAAAATCCTCCCACGCCACACCCCCACAATACTAGGGGTGGCAATTCATGTTGGCGTGTCGTGTTCGTGTCGACACGATTACGACACGGACACGATTATGGTTGACACGGACACGATTAGGGTTGACACGAACACGACACAATTATTAATCGTGTCTAAGACCTTTGACACGAATACGACACGATTATTATACGTGTAACACAACACGAACACGACACGATTATTATACGTGTAACACGACACGACACGCATAACCTGTTTAATAAATGGGTCAAGACTTGACACGACACGAAAAGACACATTTAAGTCATTTTTGACACGAATATGACATATTTTGCTAAATGGGTCATTTTTGACACGAACATGACACGTTTATCTGACATGTTTAGTTAATCGGGTTAATCGTGTCATAATCGTGCTTACAGGGTCAAACACGAACACGACACGTTTAGTTAGCAGGTCAATCCGTGTCAACACGATTATGACACGAACACGATTAGCCCAAACCCTAACCCGCTTATCTCGTGTCGTGTTCATGTCGTGTTAGCGTGTCGTGTCAAATATTGCCACCCCTACACAATACCTTAGCTAAGAAAAAAAAAATTTTGCAATTCTCTAAACATGTTAGCTCCGCATTTTGTCATGTTTATTATCTTATGTTTAACCAGCCAGTCTCAAGAGCCCAGAAAAAGGAGAATCGTGCTATGTAGCATGACAGCCAGAATAAAATTTTCTCAGGACCAATAGAACATGAATCCAAAAAAGTAGGCAAGACTTCGACGAGCGCGGGTAAAGATTCACCCAGAATTTGAGAAATTTGAGGCTAGAGAACTTGAGAAAGCTGGCTATATATACATATATTTTATAACACTGAAAACGATAAGACAGAAATTGAGTAAGGTCAAACTAGTAAAAGAAGATGATGTGACTTTTATTAAAAAAGAGAATAGGATAAAATTAGTAAAACTTATATTGGGAGAAAATAAGATTAATAGTCAGCTTATGCGCCCCAAGTAGGACCAGATAAAAAAATATAAACATGATTTTGGGAACACATATTACTTAATTCAAGGGATCCAGAATGAAAGAAATATACATAGAAGGCGACTTTAATGGTAATCATTGTGAAGGGTATGATATGGTACTTGGTTGACACGAACTTGGAGATAGAAATGATGTTGGAGTCTTGGAGATGATATCTAGACTTTGATGTGGCATATAATCATAGATTGGGAAGCATATTTTCAAAAGTGATGTAAACATTTAATAACCTTTAAAAGTGGATCAAATATTAGTCAAATCAACTTTTATCTAGCTAGGAAGATAAATCAGTTAATATGCAAACTTTATAAGATTATACCAAGAGAAAGTTCAACATCATAATCTAGGCTAATAGTTTTTTTTTCCTAGTTTCTAGGCTATTAGTTTTAGATGTACATATAAAAGAACAATGAAAAATAATTTAGGAAGTTCAAAACTCAAAAGAATATGGTAACCACAGGGAGAACACATTTTTTCATTAGATTAGGGAATATGAGGTTAAAAATATATTAAAAGGATGAAATCAGGAAGGACTTTAGGGGCAAATGGCAATCCTATCGAGGTTTGGAAGTGTTTAGGGTACGATTGTGTGCCTTGGCTAACAAAATTGTTTAATAAGATAATAATAACTATAAGAAAATGTTTGATGTGTAGTGTAAAAGTATTTTACTGCCTATATAGATAATTAAAGGGGATACAAAAAGTGGTGCTAAAACATTTGAGATTCTTATTTTGGCTAAAACATATGGGTTTTGGTCAAAGAACTAGAATGCATAGAAAGGAGAATAATAAAAGAGGTCTTGAGAGAAGGTCAAGGGGATTACAAGGGTTTTTGTTTTTACCACTCTTAAGAGAGAGTTCTCATATATTCAATTTAGGAAATATATAGACCATTTATATCTGATTGAGTATACCTCAAGGAACTGTTCAACCAATTTTATATCAGTTAAACTAGACAAACAAAGAGCAGAGATGGCTAGAGAAGCAGGTTCGTGAGGAGCTGATGTGGTAGACGAATTGAGGGTGACTGAAGATTTGGAGTAATCTGTGTCTGGAGGTAACTAGGGTTCGAGGGTGACAAACCTGTTTTTTTTTTTTTTTGGGTAAGTGACAGAACTGATCCCGACGATTGATAATTTGAGGAAGCGGGGTAACTTTTTTGTTAATTGGTGTTGTCTATGCAAGCAAGATGGTGAGTCAGTTGATCATATCCTCATGCATTGTCCCGTGGCGTACGATTGTTTTAAAACTGCAACAGAACCAATAGAATTTAAAACAGTAAAAAAGAAAAGGAAAATACCATCAGAGACTTGACAATCATCTGGACTAAAGTTATACATAGGGAAAGAAGCTCAGGCTCAATCAAGCTGAGGCGGTCACCAGGGTAGGTAGAACAGCAATGGCATAACAATCCAGCAAAAAGAACACTAATCACGTAGACACAAATTTCAAACACTTTTGGCTTTAAAATCAACTCAAAGAATCCGAAGACTCGATTGCTACCAAAAATCTATGCAGAATTTCTCCAAAGTCATTAGTTCCTTACCAACTCTCATGAGTGGAAATCAGGAAATTACTACATTGCATTACAGCACATTATAATACAAGGCCACACACTGTATCTCCTCATATTAAACATTCATAAATAGTTGAAAGCGCATAGCTGCATAGTACAGAAAGATATATAAGATGACAATACATTTTAAAAAAAATTTATCAAACTCGTATACTTAGTGCCTTCATCTTCGATCTCTTAGTGCCTTCCCTAGTTATGATATCATGAGTCCTAATTTAGAGTAAATGCCAAAATATTCAACAGCTAAGAAAGGCATCATGAAACTTACCAACACAGTTACCAGAATTGAACCTGAGATTGAACCACTAAGAGAATCAGTCACTAGTTCATTTACTGGTCTACCAAATATGACTAAATTTCCTCTAAAAATAAATTAATCTGTAGTACTAGTTTGCAACAATTAATATATAAATTATTCATGAAAGAACAAAAACCACAATCAGATCACAAAAGCCAACCAAAAGTGTCAACGTAATATGTGGACGTCAAATGAGACTTCAAGACTCAAACATTCACAAGGAATGAATGAAAGCAATTACACTATAGCATTGTTAACAAAGAATCCAATCATCTAGATCACTTGATAGGTATGAAATAGATTCTCCACCTGAATAATTTGAACAAGATCTGTTGAGTTTGATGAAATAGCTTCTCCATAAAGAAACAATAATTTTTCCCGAATGGCAAACCAGGTGTCTCCATATTCAGCCTTTCCTGACAAAACCCTCTTGAGAAGATCTTGCAAAACCTTGCTATTAGAAACATCAGAAGTAAATAAAATAAACAACTAGGACAAGAAATAATTTCACTATAAGGAGGGAAATCCAAAAGGTGGCAGAAAATTAGAAATATTGTGTTGTAATCACATGGAAGCCGAAAATAATAAATAAACATATATATATATATATATATATCCAGACCAAATTATGGATTATTAATGCAGATGCACGTTTTTCCAAAAGAAAGAGCTAGGGGATCACTTCTACATATTATTAAACTTTTGTCCTTGTCACATGATATTTGTCATCAACAACCAGCATGAAAAAGGCAGTATAGCCTCAAATTTTCAACATTGAGCTTTTGTGCTTTTCAAGTACACACTTACTTTAGTTGAAAAGGCCTAATCCACAGTATCTCATGATCCACATTCATGTAAAGCACATTTGAAGTCAATCAACAACATTCTTGACAAAACTGACAAAAATGTGTCGAAACCAGACGTTGAGCATACAAGAAGACACTAAAAGATTGAATAAAATTCCACTGAAACATTTGGCAATCTAATATTTGATGGAGAGAATTCACCACACCGCGACTGTCATGTGAGAGGCAGTAATGATGATATGGATGGAGATGAAATATAAGTCAAAAGAAGACAATTTTTATGATCAATAAGAACTCCAAGCTCACCCTTAAAGCTTTCCTAATTGAATACCTGAACTAGAAATTATTTTGTTGAAATAATGAGCATCAACCTTCTTTCACAATTTGAAGAGGCATTAATGGGGTGAGGGTGGATAGAATAAGGTTTAAGGACAAGGCATATGATGTAATCCACTAAAACAAGAAACAAAACAAACAAAGAAAAAATAATAATAATAATAATAAATAAATAAAGGTTGCTATGTCACTTGTTCTCAGGTGATGGACATCTTAGCATTAGCATATGAATCATTGCAAGTAAATCTCTTGAGAGATCAAAAGAACTTGTTAATCCCATTTTTTAACAGTAAAAAATGTGGGAACATTTTACTTTGATCAAGAAATGAAGCAAAGGACCAATAATTTCATTGCCTAAAATATTTTAAGAGTTTTGTTCCATTTCAGCCGAAAATACTACTTGGCTGTATATATTTAGAATTTTAGACCAGCAAGAGTCGCCCGCACGACATATGGAATTAGTGAATCACCAAGTAAGAAGCAAAATCCTGTAGTGGAACGACGTAAGAGGATATGAGAATGACACAAAATAAGTCCATGCAAGGTCTGACATTTTTCAATATCTTATGAAAACAACAATTTTTTCACTTATCCTTTCCTGTTATGCTAGTCTCCTTACCAAAAATGTCTTCAACATTTATTAGAAGCATGTTTAGCAAGCTAACAAAATAAGTGAACCCAAAAACTGTACCCAGAATACTCCATTACAGTATGTTCTCTCCCAGCAAACTAAAAATCAAATATAGACTCATAATCCATTAGTCTCAGGATGAACAGATGATTTCTCACTACTGGATACTCCAACATGTAGAACTTACTGAAACTGATGAGATCTATCCAATTTAGTATTCTATTGTCCCCAGAATTGAACTTAATAATTTAGTATATGTTTCATGTAAATACGTATACACATGCCAACTGGAGAATGGCATTGTTCTTTATGAGAAGTGCCAATGGCAAGCCAACAAGCCACCAGATAAGTCTAAGATGCCACTTGGAAGATGAAAAGAGACATGTAAAGCTGCCACTTCGGAGGCACATGGTGAGGTGGGGTCAAATATGAAACCAAATAAAAGGCATCCACCATCTAAATCTCTCAATCTTGCACAGTCATACAACTCATACCAAACCAAGCATCCAATATTCCAAGACCACTTCTTTCTCCAAAATACCTACATAGTCTGCAACATTATATAGATCCGCCGTCTGATGAAACACTATACATCATGCCAACAACTAGAAATCTGTTGGAGAATATTATAGGAGTTGAGTAAACACTTGGGTTGATTCTGCTCCAGTTTTTCAGCAATGGAGGAACAAAATATGATGTAGAAGTCTTCCTCTTCCATATTTAAAAATAAAAATAAAAAAAGAAACGATTTAAGAGAGAATATAATAAAGGTGATGTAGCCCTTTGGGCTTTGTGTGTCTTTCCTTGTGTTCTTCATGTTTAATTTCTCTCTTCAACTTTTATATCTTTCAACATGGTCTCAAAGCGGGTTTATCATACCCTACTCTATATTCTACTTGTCTTGGATCTTCGGATCAATTCGTCTCGGATCTTCGGATCAACTCATCTCTGACGTTTGGATCAACTCGTCTCTGATGTTCGGATCAATTCATCTCGAATCTTCGGATCAACTAGTCTCGGATCTCCAAATCAACTAGTCTCGGATCTCTTCAGATCAACTCGTCTCGGACTCTCTAGTTTCAAGCCAAACACTTGACTTAAAATATCTGTGTACCAACTTGAGGGGGGATGTTGGAGAATATTATAGGAGTTATTTTAGCCTATGATAGAATATTGATTGGAGTACTTTATGGGATTGATTTCAAGAATCCTCCATCAATATATTTTTCATATTTATCATTTGTATTCTTTCACCTACAAATAGAGGTGCTCATTATAAATAATCTTAAGAGAGAAAATAATAAGAGTGGTGTGTCGTGGATGCAGGCCTAGTGGTTGAACCACGTTATATCCTTGTGTTCTTCATTTTCTATTTCTCTCTTCAATTTTAACAAAATCCAATCCCCCAGGTCAAAAGTGATATAATGGAAAGAATTCCCCTTATCCCTTGTACTTATCCACAACCTACCCCTTTGAAAGCTCCTAACCTCATTCAAAATCCAATCACCCTTGAACTCCTGTATTCCCACCACCCTATGGCACAAGCTTATCTCTGTCCTGAAGACATCACTAAATCCATTTCGCTACAAAAGCCAGGTCATAAAACCTAAGTATATTTGGCTACGCCTCTTTGTGTGTGGTGGTGTATTTGGCTCGAGAGGAATAGAAGATATTTTGATGGGAAGGAGTTGTCGATTTCCACTCTTAAATTCTCTATTATTTCCACTCTTTTTTGTTGGGTACATGGGAGAGATCATAGATCTTTAGATGAAATTGTCGATTTTTTGGCTTCTTTGAAGGCCTAAAGGTCCTTTGTGGCCTTGTGTATATTTTCAGGGTTTCGCTCCCCTTTTGAGCGCTTTTATAAAATTATTCTTACTTATCAAAAAAAAAAGTATACTAATCCCAAGACCCCCAATATTTAAAGAGTCCGTACATCCCATTTTCAAGTGGTATTTGAGATCCTCCACCGAATACCGCAATAGAACACTTTGAAGCTTCTTTGAGATTTTTTTCAAATGAAGCAAGAACTTATAAGAACTTTTGCTTCATAGGATGATGCCAATGGAAGACCGAGTTAAAAGTACGAAGAGACCTAAAATTCTATAAACCACATTGGCCAAGCCTCCATCCTTACCAACTCTCCTACTCGCATCAACTTGCTCTTATCCGGTTAAAAATTCAATCCTGCTACTAAGAAATAAAATGGTGTCATCTTCTATCACACAAATATCAAACGGAGCCAGTCGGGACTTTTTTCCTTGACTCTTGTCATGATCATGCACTCAACAAAAGAGCTGTACAAGTGGCATTGCCATTCTTCACTCACACGATGTTGCCAGATCAAGAAACCCTTCAACATGCCTCCTTGTAGAGTCCTTGTCAATATCCTACTAAGAGCACAATCATTGTGATAGAAGAAAGGTAAAGAGAATCTTCTCGCTTAAAGGCCCTCAAACAACTACAAAATAAATTGGTAAGCCATTAACCAAGATGGAGAATGCAACTTAATATATGTAAACTCGATCTATAAAGACGTTTCTTCCAAACCAAATCCCATCTTCTCCATCACATATAATGTCCACCCAATGAATAATATCATAAGCGGATTAGTAACTACTTTTATCTATCAAAAATACCCATCTTACATAGATGATAGAACTCCTCACTAATAGCTTCTAAGCTTAGATCTACACACTCATAGCCACTAACCACTCACTCAATTAAGTTTTCTTCCCAACTACTTTGGGTCGACTACATACGTCCTATTTTTCTCTTTCGCACTATATAAGATCACAGTTTCAATCAAGTCACATGTTATTATATCTTTCCTTTGATGGAGATGAGGTTCGTATTTGGGTGTTAAAATACTCCATCTTTATTTTTTTTGTGGATAGTTTGAGAGTATAATGGCCTTTATTGACCTTTTGTACTGTTGTTCTTGAGGTACACTCCCCTCAAGAGCGCTCTTTAATGAAAATTTATTTATCAAAAAAAATAATAATAATTTCCTTACCAACTCTACCGTTGTTAATTTTAGCCTTCCTCTTCCCCTAGCATTACCTTCAATGTAGACCATGTCACCTTCCTAACTAGCATACGCAATGATCTTCTTTAATCAATTTTCTCTATTTTATCTCCAATGGGTGTAACTTCAACCATCTCACAAATGTGTTTATTTCTAATTCTATCATTTCTTGTCTTGTCACACATATTTCAATATTCACATTTTCTTTTTCTTTTTCTTTTTTTGATAAGTAAAATGTATTAGAAAGCGTTCAAAAGGGGAATGCGTCCCAAGCTATACACAAACAAAACAGAACCTATGAACTCAAGGAGCCCAAAAGTCCACAATATCCTCAAGAGAAGAATAATCTCTCCCCCAACCCCAACAAAAAAGAGTACAACTAATAGAAAATTTCAGCACCCCAATGGAGGACTCCTTCCCATCAAAAGATCTTCTCTTCCGCTCTTTCCAAAGGCTCCACCAAACGCAAAAAGGGGTCACCCTCCAAAAGTCTCTTACCTAAGCCCCCACCCATTGACCCCTCCAGATATCCAGCAACTCCCAAGAAGTCCGAGGCATGACCCAATGGACACCAAACAAACCAAAGCCATTCTAATTAAGGGCATTTTAAGAGTCATTCAAGTTCATGTATTCCATAATGCTCCTCAACTTCAAAGCCATCAATTCAACTTTCAACATCAGCTTATAAGCACTATTCACCAAGCTAATGGGCTTTATCCTTTGAATCCACCAACTTGTCCCGTTTCGAAGCCAATGTGATAAGAGAAGAATTGAAGCACCTCTCAAATTCTCTAAATCTCATCAAAATAATGCACAAGCAGCAGCACAAGTTACAAGACATCCCTGCTATCTATACTACAACATTCTCAAAAGAATGACATAGTCCTCCTATCTATACAAAGTTCATGTCCTACTTTCAAAACTTTCACCTACTAATCATTCTTCTCCTTGTTAATTCAAATAATAATTCCATATCGCTCAAATAATGATACCATAACTTTGCAAATACAAGCTACTTCGATCTTACTTGTTTAATCAGGCTGTTTTATTTCCCATAAGCAACTTGTCAAAAAATAATAATAATAAAATAATATAAATAAATAAATAACTACAAGCAAGCTATAATGACCTATATTCTAAGTTTACCTTTTGACAATATCCACGGGGACCACCACATATTAATGGTTGTAAGATGAAGTAAAACATTCAGTCCCGCCCCGATATGTCTGCAAGTGATATGAGATGGTCGCATCTCTTTACAAAGGAATGTTGAGTTTCCCGATTTTGGGTTCTGTTCTCCAGCCCCTAATAGAATCTAAATCTCCTGAACTACATACTTTACCCACACACATGTAAGGCATGGGAATCCTTGCTATTAGCAGCATCCGAATACCCGTCCCAGCTTCTCATTAGGATGAACTAATAAACCCTTTATCGTTTCTCACTGCACCCAAAATCCCAAATGATATTGAAATGTATTGAATACTAAGAATTATATTCGTAATTATCAAAATTCATTTTCCTAAAGGTTTAGAAGCCAATGATTGGTGCGATTGTAGAATGTGAAGGCTAGCAAGCATAAAAATGTTATTTAGAGTTTAAAAGAAGTCACTTTGTGCAATAACGCCAAAGGTTTGGTATGTGCCCAATCTATCCATTCTACCACCCCATGTTCGGCATGACCAACACCACTAGATACTGACCTTTTTATTTTTATTTTTATTTTTCTATAAGTATATTGGCATTTTATTTTAATAGAGGTTAGATAAGATTTATACAATTTACTTTGCCGAACCTCACATGATCCTTCTCCTTTTTACATCATTAAAACTGGGAAATAGATGGAACCTAACATTATACGTGCAAGAAGCTAAAAATCCAAAACAATAAAAACAATGCTATAAAAAGGCAATATGATCATTTGCTGAACTTATTAGTTCTAAACAGTATCTGGAAAAGGCATCACTTATTTTGAAACATTGACTAGTAAAAGATGTTAACAAGAGTGTCATTGACCATTAAAATATGTTAACACGATGAGAAGTACACATGTCAAGAGATATAAAACTTCACACAAAACACTCCACTACTCATCACCGCCAAATCATTTCATTCAATTGGACAAGGAAAGAACTACACGTACCGGTATTCAATCTCCTCCACTCCGTAATTCAGGTGAAGAAAACGAATATGAGACACCACCACTCCTTCATCGCTCTCCTTCAAGCATTCCTTCATAGCATCCAAATGAGCAATCTGAACACTCCTTGCTATCAACTTAAGCCCATTCACATCTTCCTCTGAACGCTTACCTTCTGTCCTCAATGTAATGGCTAAACCCGAATCATCATTTTCAACCCAGAGAATTTGCTTCTGTATGTTCTCGCACAATGCATCAAATAAATCTGAATTCTCCAATATTACCCTCTTCAAACATATCAATTCTGATTCCTCCAATGACACAACTCCACCGGAAGAAGATCCACCTATCTCTCCCTCATCAACAACAACCAAATCCGGCTTCAACCTGCTCAATCCCAGCTCCGAAATCTTATCCAAAACGCGCAAAGATTCAACCAAATCACCATTGAACTCCCTCAGTTCTGGGTTTTCTGCCATCAACTCGGCTCGAGAATCTTGCGACTCCAATTCACCAACATCTTTCTCAAAACCCTCCAAATCAATCACCCTCCGAAGACTCTCTGAGACCCTGGAAGTTATAGTTTGCACCAGTAGTAAAAATTCAACCCTTAACCGTAGTGTTTCGGGATCACAACTCCAAATTGACGAAGCATCGTTGAATTGGAGAAGTTCAAGGGTTGAGAGGTATGTGAGGAGAGAAGGAGATGGGCAAGATTGGGACCAGATGACCGAGTCGAATCGGCCTCCACGAGCGACAACGGTTTGGAGGATGGCTCGTGCTAGGTCTGGATTTCGAGCTCGGAGGCTGAGGAGGGTGGCTCGGAAGGGTTCGAATTGGGCTAAGAAGAGGTGGTTTGCAGTGACTCGCGAGAGTAGCTCTGTGTCTCTGTCTTCCATCGTTTCATGTATATTATGTGAGAGAGATTTTTGGGTCTGAAAATGGAGTTGTTCAGTGAATCTGAGAGTTTGGAGTATGGGAAGGGTTTATATAGAGTTTGGGGATATAAAAACTGATGCTGCCAAGGCAATGATTGATTGATACAAGGATATCATATTCACAACTCAAGATGGTCCGTTTGGATTAGTGTTGAAAATTTAAATCTAAACCCGGCCCAAGCAAGAAAGAGGCCCGGTTTGATTGGGTTTGCGTTGGTCCATTCAAATTGCATCCTCGGTCTAGTGTTATCAATTTAATTACCCATGCTAATGTAGTGTTTTGCAGGATCATACTTAATTATGTACTAGATTTTCATTAATATAGTTTAGTAAAAGCAATTGAAAAGGTGATGCAATTACAAAATTACAAAACTTCAAGTGCACCAAATGTATTGAATACCGAAAAGTGTAACAATGTTAAGTTAAAGTTTCCTCACTTGTGAAATATATTATTTAATACTTTAGACCTCAATATGAAATCGTATATTTATAAAATCTTTTAATTTGAGTGATAATTAAAAAATAATAAAAACATAAAATTTATGTGATTTGACAATATGTTAACTCGGAGGATTGAAAATCAAAATTCTTCTTTTTTCTTTTTCGTTTTGGATACAAAAGAGAGGTTGGAACTGAACTCAAATTTAAAATTTTGATTTACAAGTAAACCCATTGTCATTTGATTAAAACTCACACACCCACTCAAACTTGCCTTGGATATCAGTACCACTCGGACAATAAACTTTAAACCTTATATGTTAGTATTTAGTTAATAATACAATAATATATGTTATTTAATATATATAACTTGTATGTTATCTGCGTCATGTATTAAAACGAATTTTAACATGAGTTTGGTTTAAATGCCCGTAAATTTATGCATGAGTATATATATATATACTTATGCCTATTGAATTATATATATTTATATAGAGAGTTATATATTTATAGTAAGTATATATGTATAGGACTATATGTGTATATATGGTAAGTATTAGTTAAAAAGGATTTATAAATATATATTACATAATATATATATTTATATTTGTATGTGTTATATACATTAATATAGTTAGAGTCTTACAGGATTTTAATTGGCAATATATATATTATTTATATTTATTGTGTGATGATATATATATATATATATATATGTGTGAGTTTGATTTGGAAGGAAAGATTATGGGCTCTTGATACTTAGAGCCCATAATAGGATTCGTTGTATGCTATCTACGGTCTGTTAGGACAAGCTTATGTCAATAAAATTCTGTAATTACAAAATGGTTGACACTAGGAAAATGAGGTGGTCCGAGGCGAAAGCGATGGATGACCTGAGAAAGTAAGAGAATACGTACTTGATTCGTATGCGAATTGTATTCGATTTCTCTGCTAAATAATAGCTCATAATTTATAAGTAGGGATCAAAGATCCTAATGGAGGAGATTGTGTATCTAAGAATGAGGGTACCGAGTCTCGAATATGAGTGGTCGCACGAAAGAGATATTATTTGCTAGAAGTATAGCGAATGATATTAAAAGAATGGGAGCTGTGCAACTTACATATAGTTAGCAATGTGTTCATCTCTAACAGATATAGATGAGAGTCATTATCTGAGAGTCTGGGGATTTAGTGAAGTTCTTATTATAATGAATCATTGGATTGGAGATACCTATTGTTCTGACATGAACATTGGTATTATAACGCGATGGTTCAATTCTTGGCTTTATAAAGTAATGTATAATAATTTACCATAAGGGTAGAAAAAGGGTGAGGGTCGAACCCTTAGTATTCAAGTAGGCAAACAGAAGTTGCCTTTATTTATGTTTTAGGGTTATGATTCGAGTTTAGATGATTTCCTGCGAATCTGAGAAAGAAAAATTTTGTGAATCAATTTTATAAGTTTGATTCCAGAGAAGTTTTATTCAAGAGAATGCTACCTTAAAATTTGGTAGACTTGAGAGTACCTTTGTTTAGAATAGTTGTTTTCGGTGCTAAGAGCATGATGTGTATTTTATGGCTTTACCACGACCTTAGAGTGGTGTTAGCACTTGTTTTCTTTACATGAGAGTGAGTCTACACAGATGACTACTAAGTTGTATAATAGTACTCCAGTAGCACTGGAGTAATAGGATATCTTTCCAAAAATTTATAAAATGTCCTCAGAAGGAAAGATAGACCTCGTTGAAGTACCATAGTAAAGGGTACTAAGGAACATACGGTAGCTGCAAGATTTGAAATTGCCAACTTCTTAAACAATGGGGGGTTATCTGTAGGAGTACTTCACTATAAAATAAAATTTTATATATATATATATATATATATATATATATATAAAGTCCTAAATAATATAGACAATTGAGGATATTCATTAACGCTTTCTGAGTTATCTACAAATATGGTCGTCGAAAGACAATTTGTATGACATTTTTTTTAGGACCGGTAAAGTTGATTGTGTATTTGGATGGTTGGTATAGAACTGTGGGTCCTGCATTTATTAAATGACATAATCAAGGGGATTACTCTTATTAGAGATTTTGTGCACGCTGCCAGAATATGTAGAGTGATTGCATTAATAGTAAACTCATATATTAGAGTTTATAAGTTTATAAATGAGTTTTTACTCAAATTGTCTCCCACAGGGGGAGTAATATTGATTTTAAAGGAATGGAGGTTATTACCTCAGAGTATGAATATTATGTTTGATTAGTTATGCAATAACCTATAATGGGCGCCGCTATATATTTATATACTTTGCGTCATGTATAAAAACGAGTTTTTCATGTATTTGCTACAAGAAAATGTAGCAATGGGGTATTTACTAATGCATATAAATTGGTGAGATTAGGTTGCAGAGCAATGTAATAAGTATGGATTAGCTTAGCATATCTTAATAAAATAAGTTATGAAATATGTCTGCTAATTATGGGTATGTGTGGATGGATTAATTTCCATATGGAAGAAGGGAAGAAAAAAAAATGAAAATTTGGAATATATAATCAAAGTTATTTAGTTAGTAATACAATAATACAATAGTGTTTATTTAGGAGAAGTTACGGGAGTAAGTAAGTAGAGAATAGGAAAACCCTATACATGGTAATTATATATGTGGTAATGAGGGGTAGATGACAACTCATACAATATTGTACAACACTCCCGCTCAAGCTGGAGAGTAAATGTCAATAACTTCCAGCTTGCTACATATGGAATCAATAGAGTTCTTGGGAAGCGCCTTAATAAAGATGTTTGTCAGTTGTCTGCCACAAGGAACAAAAGGTGTAACAATCTTATTCAAGTCAACTTTAGATCGAATGAAATGGTAATCTACTTCAATGTGTTTAGTCCTCTCATGGGATATTGGATTGCTAACAATATGGATAGCTGTCTGATTGTTACAATGGAGAGGAATTGGGTACTGGACTAAAATCCCAAGTTCCTATAAAAAAGTTTTCAACCAAGTAAGTTCACATAAAAAAGTTTTCAACCAAGTAAGTTCACAGGCAGTGTGTGCCATGGCACGATACTCTGCTTTAGCACTGGAACGAGCCACAATTGACTGTTTCTTACTCCTCCAAGTTCCTCATGTGAAGGTGTAGTAACCCGTGGTAAACCGTCGATCAGAAGGAGAACCGGCCCAATCTGCATCTGTATATCCCACAATCCAAAGATTTCTAGAAGATTGATAAAGTAGACCACATCCTAGAACACCCTGATTGGTTGATCAACTATACATCAACCTTCGCAATAGCACGAATCATTGTAAAATAGGGCTATTGGTCGAGTAAGTCGAACCACTGGGACTGCGCTAGTCTATAGCAACCTAAGCGTCTAGAGTCATTCTTAGGATGATGAAGGGGTATAGAATATTTGTTTGGTTTGTCACTAAAGCTAGGAATGTAAAGATGCATAAAACAAGAATGCAAGAAATGTAAAGGAAGGAGATCTAGGTAGAGAGATTAAGGACATGAATTCACACTACACCCTAAGTACATGCTAGATTAAGTCTAAATTGGGGATGGACAATATATGCAATGGTCAAGAAATACATGACAACACTTAGTTACCATATATTTGTTAAGAGATCCATTAAATTGGCACAAGAATGATCATTCAAAAGCTAACACATTGAACTACCTAAACTAGGATGTAGAGTCAAATATATTATCTTAAGCTAAAGACCATCAAGCATTCAAGCAAATGACAAAGCACATGAAGTAGGAAACTAGCATAACCCATCAAAGGAAGTTCCTAAGCAATGGACTATCCATTTTTCTATCAACATGCCTTGAAAACATTTCATAGTTTTCTCCCCATTGTCACCATGAGAATACAAGCAATAAGATTAATGTACGAATCATCAAGTCAAGCTAAATAACTTACATCAATCATTTAAACATAATAGAGTTCATTACAAGAAGTAATATGCTCTAAACTATGAAAAAACCAAAATCTATACATTAAAATCCCCAAAATAGAACCTAATTTAGAACATGAACAACAAGGGGAGGCTTCATCACCTCCCTAGATAGAGTTTAGTTATCCATTGATGCACTAGAGAAAGGAGGAAGCTTGAAGAAAGACTCCATTTTCGTGCTCCTTCCTTTGCTTCAAGAACACACCTTTTTTTTTTTTGTTTCTCTTCTCTCTCCTCTATCTTGTAAAAATGTAGGATATGATGCATGTGGCCCTTAGTTGCCTTATATCATTCAACCAAGCTCTCTCTCTCCTCCAAAGACATTCCCAACCACTCCATAAAGAAGAAGGGTGGAAATGTGGAAACCAATGCACAAGTGGGCTGAAGAGGGGTTCATTTCCGAGCTGCAATCTGGCCAAATTTTGAGCACTCGAAGGGTGGCCTCGAGCACTCGAAATTAGTGTAATGTGTAACATGCAATTCTTGCCCATCACTAACCCACTGTGGAAGAATGACCATAACTTTGTGCTTCGAACTCCGAATGATGATCTGTTTGAAGATTTGGAGAGCTGATTCAGAGCTTTAAAAACTTCATGTTTTGATGAAGACCCAATTCTCAAGTCTGGTTGGTCGAAAATGGGGAGAAAGGCAGCCCTTCAGTGCTGCCAGGCAGTTCTGCACACCTCTGGTAAGAAGATCATAACTCTCTGCTCCGAACTCCGAATGACGAACCGCATAAAGATTTGGAAAGCTGATTCAGAGCTCTAAATCTTTCATGTTATGATAGAAGTCCAGTTCTTGAGTTTGCTAGGTAGAAAATGGCGACAAAAGTCAGGTTCTACTGCTGCCAGAATTTCAGAATTGGCACCCTTTTTGTTCAAAATTCCACAAGGCATCATTTTTGCTTCTTTTTTGCAATTTAACCTGAAAATGTACAAAAACATGCAAATGGAGATGATCTACATAAAATAATTAATTAATGGACTTTGTTAATGTAATTTAGGGCACTTGAATATACAGTATTCGGCGCTTATTACACCCTTGAGATACTTCAACATACGTACAATTGCCTCCGTGTGAGGTACCCAAGGACTGGTCATGAACTGACTCACAACACTGACTGTATATGAGATGTATGGACGAGTGACTGTGAGGTAAATAAGTTTACCTACAAATCTCTGATACATCTCTGGATCATCAAATGGGTCACCGTCATCCACCTTAAGTTTTACATTAGTCTCAATGGATGTAGCTACAGGTTTTGAACCAAGATATCCACTATCCTGTAATAGATCAAGAACGTACTTTCGCTAAGAAAAACTAATGCCTTGCTTTGACAGAGCCACCTCAATTCCTAAAAAATATCAAAGTTTGCCTAAATCCTTAGTAAGGAAGCTAGAACTCAAGTGATGGATTAGAACTTATATCCTATTTTTATCACTGCTGGTGATAACAATATCATATACATACATCACAAGAATCATAATACCACGTTTCGTTTTCTTAAAAAAATAAGAGTGGTCAGCTTGGCTTCTGGTCATACCATGAGCTATAACTGCTTTGCTAAACTTATCAAACTATGCACGAAAGGATTGTTTAAGGCCATAGATAGACTTCTTGATATGACACACACACTCCCCCTTATACTCAAACCCAGGTGATTGAGTCATATAGACTGTCTTATTAAGGTTACTGTGTAGAAAAGCATTTTTAACATCAAGTTGATGAAATGGTCAGTCTAGATTAGTTGCAAGAGAGATTATGACACAAATATAATTTGGTTTGGCCACAGGAGAGAACGCCTCAGTATAATCAAGGCCATAAGTCTGAGTGTAGTCTTTAGCAACAAGTCGAGCTTTGAAACAGTCAACAGTACCATCAGGTTTCTATTTAACAGTAAAAACCCAATGACAACCAACAACTTAAGTATCAACAGGGTTAGGAATAAGGTCCTAAGTATGATTCAATTTTAAAACGTTTATTTCTTCTTCTATAGTTTTCCTCTACCCTATATGAGAAAGTGCCTCCCTATAGGACTTAGGAAAAACAATAGAGGATAAAGACAAAGAAAAAGCTTAAAAAGAGGAGGACAATTTATTATACGATACAAAATTAGAGATAGGGTGATTGGTACAAGACCGTTTCTCAGAAGAGATGGAAGAATCTCCAGGCGTTGAATTGACTGGTGGAAGTGATTAACTACTCTTTTTCGGCGACGAGCATAGACATAAAGAGTTAGTGGGATGTCAGAATAAAAAATTGGAGTTGGAATAACAAACTCTTGAATAACGGAATCCTCCAGGCGACTGCCTTCCTTAGAATAATAAGGAACATCCTCAAAGAAAGTTACATTTGCACACACAAAATGTTTACGAAGAGTTGGACTGTAACATTTATATCCCCTTAAGTGCGAGAATAACCTATGAAAATACATTTGTGAGCATGAGGATCAAGTTTGTCTTGTCTCAGGCTTAGATTATGAACAAAACAAACACACCCAAACACCTTTGGAGGAATGGAAAAAAGGATTTTTGCCAGAAAACATCATTTGGAAGAGTGATTTTCCTTGAAGGACCCTAGAAGGCATGTGGTTTACAAGATAAGTAGCAACCAGAACTGCATCTACTAAAAAATGGTTTGGAACATGCATTTGAATTGTTAAGGTATGAGCGATAACTAGGAGTGGGCCATTCTTCTGTTCAGCAACTCCATTTTTTTTAGGGGTATCAACACAAAATGTTTGATGGATAATGCCTTCGACTCAAGAAACTGTTGAAAAAACATTAAGTTTATATTCAAGGGCATTGTCAGTTCTAATAACAAGTAATTTTGCATCAAACTGATTTTGAATTTTAGCATAAAAGGATTGAAAAACAGAGAATACTTGAGATCTATCTTTAAGAATATAAACCCAAGTTAAACGTGAACAATCATCAATAAATGACATAAAATAACGAGCACCAAATAAACCAGTAGTACGAGTTGGTCCCCAAACATCCGAATGTACTAACTCAAAATGTTTTAAACTTTTATCAAAACGAGACTTAAAAGTAGCCCAACGATGTTTACTAAGTTCGCAATTAGTACAATTAAACTTAGAAAAATTAACTAAATAAGGGACCAAGTATTGAAGACTATTTGAAGAGGGATGTCCAAGGCGGCAATGCCACTGGTAAGCTGAAGAAGCGGTGGAATATAGAGCTGTCGGAACAGTAGTTAGGTGGAGGTAGTAAAGACCATCCTTCCCAAACCCCCCACCAATTGTCTTCTTCGTCTCGAGGTCCTGAAAGATTCGACGAGAAGGAGAAAACGTAACTGAGTCATTTAAATTTTATATGATTTTGCGAACTGACAATAAATTGAATGAAAATTGAGGGATGCATAAAACTGATGAAAAAGTGAGACACGAAGTGTGGAAGGTACCAATTCCATGAACAGGTGATTTGGCACCATTCGCTATAGTAACAATCGATGGTGAGAAAACATGCGAAATATCATAAAATAGATGGGTTACCTGTCATGTGATCGGATGCCCCTGAATCAATGATTTAAGGTGTAGAAGATGAAGCATGGAGACACGTATTACCTGAAGTAATGATAGTAGCGGTGGAGGATGGCTGATTTGCACGCTCACGCTTTACCAGTTTGGTGCTGGTGATTGACCCAAAAAGATGGGATTCCTAAGTATCCATCACAAGAGCTGCCGAACAAATGAGATATAGTAGCGAGAGGGAACCGAGATAAGAGAACCAAGATCTAGTTGAGATGAACCCGAGAGAAATTATCGAGGAGAGATTGAGGAGGGATCCGAGAGAGATTGCTGAGACGAGAACTGAGATCACCGAGGAACTAAGATCACCGATAAGAGATTGAAAGAAAGCCGAGATGGAATCAAGATTGTAGTCTGAATAAGATAATTTTTTATTTTTTATTATTTTTTTTAAAGAGGGATTGATTTCCGCTTTGATACCATGCTGAAAAAGAGAGAGAATTTATGAAAACTTATATGTTGTTTAGTTAGTAATACAATAAATGATAACGAGAACAAGAAAACCCTACACATGGTACAATTCATAAAATACTGTACAACATAGTTATATTTTAAGATTTATTATTATTTGATTTTTTCAAGGTCCAAAACTAAAGCTTTGTAATTTACATACAATTAAAAGCATAGTTCAAAGATTTACCATATCAACATTACACAAGTTACTCGTAATTATATTTTTTCTTTATAAATGCATGCAGAGGGAGTTGAGGAATAAGGTTAAAAAGAAAAACCTAACACCAAACCTGTGCAATTTAACCCTAGAAAAACTAACCAAACCACAGTCACTGGTAAAAAGTTTTAGGCGGGAAACCACCCTTCTTCCCCCCTCTCCGATCATTTTCTCTCTCTAAACTCGCCGTTTCTTCGTCTATCAATCCACAGAACATTCTTTCCCTCTCTCGTGCCATTTTCTCTCTCTAGAACCATGAACGAGATTCGGCGATCGATGTCGACGGTGGCCGCAGGAGAAGCCCTAACGGTTGCGCCGGAGCTGTCTCCGTCGGAGTTGGAGATTGCGCGGCGTAGGCTTCGACAGCGGTGGGAGTTAGCGTCTGTTCTAAATTTCTTGAATGTAAGGTCACGCGTTCTTGGTGAAATTGCACAGAAATGTTGAGGTTTTTATTTGTTTGGGTGTATATACATGTTTTTGATATATCTATATATATTTGTAGGTATACAGAGGTGGAATTATTTATGTATTTATAGTTTATAGTCTGTTTCTGTACATGTATATATGGATTGTGGGTATATTTATGCGTGAAAACTCAGAGAGAGAGAGACTACATATAAATGTATGTACTCATTTGTTTATGCACAGACACTAATGGTTTTCTGAATTGCCTATAGGTTTTTGAGCCAGTAATTGAGAGCAAGATGAAAACTTCAGCTGGTGATATTGAGGCTGCTCTTATTAAACCAGATAAACTGCTTTCTCAGCTTCACATAATGCTTTTAAAGGTTTTAGTTTTTTCTATCATATATGAATTCATAGCACAGTTTTTTGAGGTGTAGTGTTTGTTGATTTGGTTAGTTACCTATTTCCAAAATAGGTGATTACTTTGATGTCCAGATGTTGTGTTTTTATGTTGTGTATTTTTTAAGTGGAAAGAAATTGAAATATACTAGTAACGCAATGGATTTGCGCAACTATTCTTGAAATTCAATTGCTACTGACACCCAACAACTTGGGAATAACTGAGTTACACATGTTCTAATGTATTCTAAATTACTGTTGGGATGATTAGAAAAATAGTTGGAACCTCATATTTGATGCTTAGCATTTAACGCACTTATCTTTTTATTGATCATTAATTTTATGAAGTTGTATTTGAAGAGAATTCAATAGAATAAATAATTGCTTTGTGGTTCTATTTTATTGACTGTATGTCCAACTTAATCATGTTGATACTCTTATTCGAAAGAGTTTCTTTTGTTAAAATTAGATATATGGTAAGAATGTTATGAGTGTTTTAAATTATAAATATAAACGCAAATATATTTATTTTTTCCTGAAATGAATATGAGTTTGCCCTAATGAATCTTATGCAGTGGACTAGTTTATAATCAGACAGATATCTTGGACACTTAGATCCAGAATAGCTCATCAGAAGCTGACGGGGGGTTCTTAATTGTTTGTGACTTGGATTGAGATTTGAAGCAAAGAAGATGTTTTTATAGCAATTTGATTTCCTATTTTTGTTTATGACACATATTGTAGTTGGATGGCAATACCATTAGTACAAATCAAGTGTTAAGCATCCCCCAGTTGCGTAGGCACTCACTTGATTGGTCCAAGCAACGGTCTATTTCCCCTGTGGGTCCTCAGTTGCATAGATGGTTGCCCAAAAACTGCTCGCAAGAACAGTAGTGGCAAGTTAAGTGTATGCTTGGATCACAATTGTTTGTCATTTTTTTGAAGCATCGCCTGTTTGCTTTTAATTTTCTTAGACATCCCCTCAAAGTTTCGTCCTTTCTTCCTACTTTCACAGTATGAACTTTTTTTGTGAGGTGGTTTCCACAAGATGTCATGTATTTCATAGTTACCTAAGTTGGTTCCCCTTGCGCTACAATGGTTGGAAGAATTTAACCCTGCTACTCTCTCTCTCTCTCTCCATTTTTTCTTTTTGTCTATCTTTACCCGCCTCTCACATATTATGCGTGTGCATGCTTACCCTGTGTTTTCATTTGTTATTATTTTATTAGTATATGGATAGCATGCAAAGTGCAAAATTTTTCTACTTTGACAACTAGTAGATGACTGTTTTTAAATGAAATGATAAATTTTGCTTGGTACTTTTGCAGCACATCGCACATTGTCGTAGAATTGTGAGAAGGTTGAATGGGGTTATAATAAATATATGTTTATGTGATGTTGTGGCCTGAATTTTGTTTCGGTCTGGGTCGCGTTGCGATAAGGTTATTTATTTATTTTTGGTAAGTGATAAGTTTTGATTCCACCCCCCCCCCCCCCCCCCCCCCCCAACACACACACACATACATATTTCTTCTTGCGGGTCGTGGACCGTGTTTTAGAATTCTCTTGTAGCGCAATATATAAGGGCGTTTAGGATTCAGGTTGTATTATGAGACGAACACTGAAAACCTCAAGAGAGTGTGAGAGAGAGCACTAAGGTTTGGGGTCTGAAACATGTAATCTTTTCACATAGGAAATTTTTTCTGGATCTTCACCGTGGACGTAGACTTACTCCTAACCACATTAAATTTTGTATTCTTGGTGTATGGCATGTTTACTTTTCTGTCGTGATTCTTGATTGAGTTATTGGTTCGCGGTATTTGTTGTAACAGTTTAAATGACTATAATTAAAAATAAAATGCCTGAAAACTTTTAGGATGAAGGGATTTTTGGTAACTAGAATGGATAATTATGCGTAGGAGAGAGAATATAATTATGTTACTTCCCGTTTTACTCTTTAACTTGATAATGAAGTTTATTAAGCGGACTAGAGGTATCCACCTATTTTCTTTGATATTTTCTGTTCATTTCTCCTTCAGCATCTTAATTTGGTTTCTACTTCTTTCATTTTTTTTTTTTTAGATGTTAATATTATTTCCCATTTTATATATTTTGCATGATTTCCCATGTTTTCCCCCTTCTGGAGGCTAGTTGGATAGCCTTAACCTTTTTAGTTAGATAGCATTATTAGACCATGCTTTCCCACATGCTTGAGGCTTGGAGAGGGTGTATGGCGGGGAATCATAGCTGAGATGCGTGGAGGACAACCTTACTTTGCTTGTGGTAGGGTTTCTGGTGAGAAAGAAATAGGAAGTCCTTTTAAGGAAAAGAGCTTCCTATTTCGGTTCTTAAATTCTCTATCCAGAGTTCTTTATTTTTTGGATTCATGGGTGGAATTGTAAATCTATGGAGGATTTTGTGGATAGGTAGCAAGCAGTGTTGTTAAAGGCGTGCCTAGGCTCGAGGCACAAGTCCAGCCTATTGTCATCTCAGGCTCACTGATGTTTACTAGGCGCACACCTCGGCTGCGCCTCGTCTTATTTGTCTAGGTGCGCCTAGGCGCTCCTCGCTGTTTTTTGTTTTTTTTAAGTGATTGTTCTATCTCTTAAGCCAAAAAGGGTACTTTTGGCAACTTAATAAACAAATAAGAAAGCCTAAGCATATCAGAGAAGGGTCTTTTGTTCAAAAGAATAAACAAATAAAAAATTCCAAGACCAAACATAGAAAGAGTGAGACTGTGAAAGCAACGACGAAGCTCTAGTGGCAGTGACGAATGACGAAGTCATGTCAGTTCTTTCTTCTTCTTCTCTTTCCTCTCTTCTCCTCTACTCCTCTTTTCTCATCGTTGTTTACTTTTTTCTCTCCGTCTTGTTCTCTTCTCTCTGTCTTTTTGTTTTTTTTTTGGCTCTATTTTTTTCTCCTTTTTATTCTTTAACACTCTCTTTTCTCATCTACTTCTTTTGTCTCTGCCCTCTTTTATTTTTTTCTTGGCTCTATTTTTTTTTTTTTCTTTTCTTGTAAACGGTTTTTTTTTTTTTTTAATAGATTTATTTCTTTTTGTACTCTGTTTTGCCTTTCAAGAAAACAAATTTGTGCTATGTTTTATCGTTCTTGAATGCTTATATAGTTGATGGATTTATTTTTTTATAATTGATATTAATTTTTAGAATATTGATATGACTTGTGAGTTATGAATGCTATTATGGTAGTTTAAAATTTCAATTGTGCGCCACACTTCACTCAGGTGCGCGCCTCGCGCCTCGCCATGCGCCTCGCGCCTAGGCTCCAAAGGACCTCTAGTGCCTTGGTGTGCCTTGAGCCTTTAATAACACTGGTAGCAAGTATAGAGGTCCTATTGGGCTTTTTATGGATATGTATATGGGATGTGCTCCCCTTTTGAGTGATCTTTAATGAAATATTACTTATCAAAATAAATAAATAAAGACGTAAACCTAAAAATGCATGACCGTCTGTTTGTGTTTTTGTGCCCAGGAGCATGCTTGAGTATGTGAATGATGTGTTTGTAAGGTAGTCTTTCATAATGTAAAAAATGATAGCTTTTGAATTTGCATTGCTCGCTGATGTTCCATGTTTGGTAACCAGGATCCAACAAATGTTTTTGGTGTATTTGTTGTTACTAAAACCTTCATTACCAAAATTTTCTTTTTGTGCTCCTGATTAGTCTATATAAATATATATGTTCCCCCTTTCTTTCTGTTCATGTCTTTTCTTTTTGGTTTATTTGTTCCTTTATTGTTTTAAACGGGGTATGAACATAAGTGTTATTGTGTTAAATAGGAATTCTGAAACTCTTTAGTTTTGTGCTATGAAAAAATCTCTTTTAATTCAGAAATTGCACTTTTTTTCTTTTTTTGGATCATAGAAGTTGAGCCGAAGGGCTTAATTATATGCAAAGTTTAGAAAACTTTCTTAATAATAATTGAAACCCTCTATGATCAGGGGATCAGGATACCAAAGCTGACAAACACTGGTTGGTATAGAGTGATCAAAGATGGGTTACATCCTGCCAATTTATTTATTTCCTTTGTTGTCCTGTCAAATTCTGTGCGTGCCCTGATATTTTCTGTTCATCTTTCTTTTAAAATTTGTATTTGCCTTTCACTTTTCTATGATTTTCGCGGGGGTTGCTCCCTATTTATGACTCTCACATACTTCCCAAGACTTGTTTTTCCTTCTTGATTAGCTGTGTATAGCAGCTATAGCTTCATTTTGTTAGATTATCTCTATCTCTATATCTCTATATCTTTTGTGAGTGGGTGGACTTTGCTGTGTGTACGTGTGTATATGTGTGTCAGTGTGTGTGCATGTGCATGGAAATTGTTGCATACACATGCACGTGTTCCTGTTTACAATGTTCATTTAGAAAGAACTAGACATGATCATGCATGTGATTGCACGTGTGTAAAAGTATTTATTTATACTTATAATAGTGGGCCAATTTTGGTACTTATAATTTGACAGCTGAATACAGAGAGAACTTGTGCTTACCTGTTTAAAAATTAAGTTCCAAGTTTGGTCATCCCGTCATTTATTTGGTCTGTCTTTGTTAATTTTTTAAACGCTCCCTCTCTCTCTCTCTCTCTTCATGTGTTTTATTTTAGATTCGTGAAGTGGATGCATGTATACGGCCTTGTTTTTGTAACTTTCCATTTTATTTGTTAGGCTACTAATTGTTAGATTCCTTTCCTATTTGTAGGCCATTCAAGTTTCTTTATTTCTATCGACCTGTTGAAAAATTAGCCAAATGTATCATGTGTTGAAACAAATTATTGATACATTAAAACAAAATACTAAAATTTCCTTAACATTGATGCGTCATATGACAGTAATAATCAAAGTGCATGCTGGAATGACAATACAACTCCATCAAGTTTTGAAGATTTGAGATAAATGGTTTTTGACAAATGTCATTGGTATAGATTGAATTAAGATTTTTTTTCCTATTGCGGTAATTTTTTTGGGTACTGTTTTTCTCCAAACTGTTTGCTTTTCTTGATATTCTTTTGTGCATGCCGTTATTTTAAGTTTTTTTTTTTTTTTTCAACTGGTCCATTATGCCAGCATTTTTAGCTTCTTATGTTGGCTTCTGTACCTCAAATTGCTTCCTTTACCCAGTTTTCAGTTTTTAGGAATGTGTGGGTACATGTTTTATATCTTATCTCTAGTATATTAGACTAGTTAAGGTTTTAAGGGGCCATCACTTGGTGCAATGATAGAAGTTAGGCAGTCAAGCATGTGAAGGCTGGTTTGAGTCTTAGAACTGTTGTTTTGTTAAATAATACCAAATAATAGGTTTACACCTGTTCAGTCCTTCTATCATCCTCAATTAACAAGGGCCAAGTCTAGGTATTGCCTTTTACTTGTCAGGTGTATATGTTGATTGGTTCTTTATTCTGTGAGAAGTACTGTTTCTCCTTCCCATCTACTAGCACTAGTACTACTACTGTTGTTTTTATTACTACTACGTTTATTATTGTTATAATACGGAAGCCAATTTCTTTTTATATTTGATGCCTAAGCTGGTTGCAGCAACATTACTTGTGCCTTTAGTTTAGAATGTTTTTACTTCAAGATCATATTGGTATTCAAATTTCTTTAATTTCTTTGGTAGTGTCTAATATCCAGTCATCAATAAAAAAGAACAGAGGTCTGATAAGCAGGTTTAGTTGCATTTATTTGAAAACTTGAGACCATCTGTGGCAAAATGAGTTTCTTACCCGTATGTGCTGGAACCCTGATAGTGCCTCACCATGTCAATATCCTAAGCACCATAGTTTCTTTAATGCTTGATCGTACACTATTCAACTGTGATCTGCTCTCTCCTGCAGTGTAAAAGTGTGTAAGCTTGACCAAATCTCTCATTGCACCTGTTGAGCGAGAAGTAATTACTTGGAATATGGTGCTTGTTACCCTCAAAGAGTTATGTTGGGCATATTAAAATCTTGTTTTCATTTTGTATATCCACTGAGAATTTACTTCTGAACGAATTAAAATTCTTTATTTCATGGGATTTTCTGCCATTATATTTATTTTGGGACTGTTCCAGACAGCATTATTTTAGCATTGTTTGTTTATTGTTTGAAGTTCAAGGCGTGGAAAGTAACAATTATTGGGTTCCTGTTATCTCCAGTTTGCTTGGATGAAAAATTTTACTCACTTTTTTTGGTAATCAGTTTTATTTGGAAGATTTTGACATTTCATGCCTCCTTTGCAAGGATAAGGAAGACTCCATACATGCCGACTGCTCTATATACTTTTGTTACTGTTAATATGCTGCATGTCTCTGGATATTATTTCTTGTTGAATAATGTGGCAATCGGGTTTTTGGACACTGCATTGAGAGAGATTGATTTGATCATGATTTATATAGCTTCTGGAAGCTCATGATTGTCATGCAGAATGCAGTGACTACCAAATTCATCAAAATAATACCAGCAAAATCGAGATAGTTTCTTTAAATTTTTTAAATGATAATTTTAATATAGTTGAAGAAAAAAATCGTTCAACTGGTATGGAGAAACTTAAAAGAATCATCTTGAAAATCATGATAATTAAAGAAGAATGGTTTTGTTTTCATGTGGTTTTCAATCATCTCTGATTTGTTTACCATTACTTGTTTAACCTAATCAAAATGTTTGTCAGGGAATACCACCTGTAAGTAAGTCCTTGAAGAGTTCTGATGCATGGGTGAAGGAGCTCTGTAAGAAACTCGCTAAGTGGTGGCCATGGGTAGGTCACTATAAATCTTGATTGCTACATAATTTACTATAATTGTTCATTTATTCAGAACCAAGCTGCAACAATTCGGTGACCTTCTGTTGCAGGTTGCTGAAGGGGATAATCCACTGACTGCAGCTAAAGGGTATTGTATTTCTTCTTTAACTACATCTCATGATTCCGTATGGATTGCAACTTAAGACATTAATTTTTGCTACAATTGATTACGCAGAGAGGAGAATTCCAGATACAAGGAACTTGATCCAACAATCCGTCTATCAATTTTAAAAGCACTTTGTGAAATTCGAGCGGCTGTAATATATCAAGCCTCTTTCTTTTCTTTTTATTTTTATTTAAAAAAAAAAAAAGAAAAAAGAAAAAATTATTGGTGGATCTGCATGCCACGTTGTCTGGAGGATGCTTTGATATTTTGCTTATTTATTCTGATTTGTTGTGTGTGTTTGCGTGTCTTTTGGATGAAATTTCTCTTAGTGCTCTCTCAATTGAGTTCTGAACACCCAATTTTATTATGTTTTACTACGTTTCTGGAATCAAATAAACTATAGGTTGGTTTCAGTTTCTTGAATTTCTATTTTTGTTGGTTGGATAATGGTTTTCTTTGTTCACAGCAAGATGATGTGGTGCGTTATATTAATGATGCAATAAAAAGTGGAACCGAACTTTCTTATTTCCGCAAAGATAAGATTGGAGGAGATGGGAATAGAACTGCATACTGGTAATCCTGGTCATTTCTTTGTAGTCTAATTGTGATACGAGCATGATCACTATTGATAATCCTCTGTTCATGGTAGGTATGATGGAAATACAATTATTGGTTATAGATTATACAAGGAAGTAAATAAGTACGAGTCCAATCAAAAAGTTAAGGGAAAAGGAACCGTGCCGGTAATGAGTTCTCATTGGAAAACACTTGCAACCAATCTTGAGGAATTTCATAAAGTTGTGGTAAGTCTCAATTTTCTGTTGTTACAAGGCAGGAAACCTCTTCACTGACTTTGTTTTTTTGTTGCTAATGACAGGATGACTTCTCATCTAGTGAGGATAAAGTGGAAGTTTTTGTTAGTAAGATCATTGAAACTGATGCCATTCCTGTTCTTGAGAAACTTCAGAAGGTCAGTTTCTATAATCCTCTTAAGAATGCATGAATTGAATTTTATGTTGGCATGGTTAATCTTTAACAGTTTAGGTATGTAGTTGTTTATATGGATTATACCTGATGCACTTGCTGCTATGAAAAAAATACCTGATGTACTTGTTCTTGGTATCTGCAACAGAAGAAAGAAAAGGCACTGAGACAGCAAGAAAGACAAGAGACGCTTTTGAATGGTTTTCGAAATTCTGGGATCACTCGCTCTTGCCGCAACCGTAGGCCTGTCAGTTATACATTTGGTATGATATAAAAATTGCTTAATGTACCTTAGATTATCTGCTTGAATGGTTCAGAAGTAACAACTCTGACAAGATTTCATTTCGGGTAGTTTTTTCTTAATACTGTCGGGACAAAAAGTTCCATATTTTGAATAGATAGTTTGTTTCAGATATGATCGTTCCATTTTTCATTTGTTTTGAATGTCATCAGATAGAATTGATCGATGTCTCAGTGTCGTCTCACTTAGAATGATAAGGCCTTCAGTTAAAATGAAGCCGTAGGCCAACAACTAACATTTACAAAGCATGTGTTGTGGCTGCGCACCTGTCTTTGTATCTTGGTAGAAAGCTTTTATGACGGCCTCCTGCAGCTTTAACAATACTATAACCACGTTAGATGTTTGGTTTCTTCCGTCTTCATTATATTTTGTACATTTTTAATTTTGATAACTTGTATATTACGAAATTGAGCGAAGTCATGGTGCATTGTAGTGTTGCTTATCTGCAATATGTAAGCGTACGCTGTAGTGATTTTGTTGACTGTATATGTGCGTGCAAAGGGTATTATACATAAGACAAGGCATTCAGAAAGTACACTATAAATTGTAATGTGGAATTGTATAACATTAAATACAAAATGTTTACTGTAGAAACATTTGGTGCATACTTTGCTATGGACGACTTCTATACAAACACACATATTTGACATGCATTTTTTATTTTGAGGAAGAGGCTCTTACGTTTTAGGAACTACTGTGCAGATGAGTATGACAAGGCTATTGAAGAGGCTATACAAGTAACGAAGTAAGTAATATTTACTGCACTCAATTGTTTATATTCCATTGGTTTTTATCTTCATTGTTTTATAAGTCATCTTTCATGTGACGATTCCAGTAATGTATATATTTGTTGCCGAAAAGTCTTTGCTCAGTTTGAGAAGATAATATGGATGTTCAAAACTTTGATTGGAAGTAGGAATATGATCTGGGTTGTTCATAGTGCTATGTTTTTTTGTATAGTCCTAAAGTATATCTCAATATTTATATTTCTTGATCATATAGAAGATCTTGCTGTTTGATTTGTGGTTTAGGAAAAGAAATAGGAGCAGCTCAGAAACAGAAACTGACTCGGGAGGCAGTGCTGCCAATAAATCTAAATCCACAGGAGGTGACAACCTTCAAGGAGGTGATGATGATGATGATGATGATTACGAGTCTGATGGAAACAAGGATGATGGTGATGACAAGCATGGCAGCGATTCAAGTAATTCCAACAAAGAAAATAACAATCTTGGCAACAGGAACCACACAACGCTTGATTCTCGAGAGCAGATTGTTAACTTTGATGATAAGCCTTTTGGTTTTGGGACGCGCTGGAGTCTAAGACTAGCTGGGACCACCGACCACCCTGTTTCAGATACCAGAGGTGCAAAGAATAGATTGAGACAAAGACCTACTCGCAATACTGCGCTTGAGAACGCTGTTGTCTTCGATTCAGAAGACGAAAACTCATTAGAAAATGCTAGGAACGGTATGTCCAGTGGCCAGAACTCATCTGCGGCTGCTGATCACAGTGATGATAATGACAGCTAAAAGACTTCTGAATGGGCATGACTGAGCAAGTCATTTGCACATGCATTAAATGATTTTCCTTGAATTTTGTAACACCAGAAGGAAATTTAGAGTGCATTTGTTTTTTGGAAATGACATGAAAGTTTAACCATTGTTTCTCGGAAGCAAACAAAAGTATGTATTTTTTGTAGCGTTGTTTCTGAGAAGTGTGTTTAATCATTGTAAAGGAGGTTAACAAAGTGTTAGGTTGTTAAATGCCCCGTATTAAGCTGATTGAATCTGTTCTACTTGAGTTTTATTATTATTATTTAATGATCGAAATCCTTCTTACTGCTACAACTGGTTGAATCTGTTGTGCAATGTGGTTTTGAAAAGGTCCAATTACAAGCACATGAGAATTGTATCCAAAGCCTATGTGGTCTTTGCATTCTACCTTCAGCAAGCTGACACTCTCAGCAGCCATCTATCATATTTGCGAGGAACGGAATTCCAGAATCTTCATAGGGATCTGCAGCTCTCGGCATGCCATCTTGTTTGAAGATCAGAAATTCAATTCGAGATAACCTCGAAAGTCTTTCAGTCAAAAATGGTTTGGATGCTCAGCTTGCTTGGGGCCTGCCGTCTTCCGTCCACCAGTCACCTTTCAGGGAGGCTCTCCAAGTGGTGAGGCCAGTCCGCTCTCTGGTTTAAGAATTTGAATTCTGGGGTTTCCGTTGATTTACCATCCTTGGTTTGTTTGCCTCTTTGGGCTGGGTGGGATCAGTTTGGTAGGATGTATTTTGGGCCCTTCTTGGTTGGGCCTGGTTGGGTTGGATTATTTATTAGTCCTGGTGTCTCTGCCCTTCTCCATTTGAGTTGTGGGCTTCTTCTCTCTTATACAAATTTTCTCAATATATATATATATATATTGCTTAATCAAAATTTTACTTGCGAATTTATGTTCAATACCTTTTATGTAAGGTTTATTGAAGCTTATGAAAACAAATTCTAATTGAAGCGCATTTCATTTTGCAAAATAATATGAAAGTTACCACAAAATCAATTACTTGGTTAGTATTTTATTAATTTTTTTTTAAAAGGAGAGGTATGAGAGTTTGAGTATGCTAGGAGCATAATGTTTTCACTCTATTTTTATTCGGTTGCATCTCATTTGATTTTTTTAACGGTGAAATGGTAAAATTATTGCTTAAAATGAAGTGCAAGTGTGTGTTTTCGAATAATAATTGTCACTTCAGTTAGGGAAAGGTAAATAGAATGCTAGTTAAAAAAGTGGCGCCTGAGGATAATTTTTTTTCTTTTCTAGATTTTATAGGTCCATGAATATTAGAGGGTTTGTTTGGGTTAAATTATTTCACTTGTGTGTGTGTGCGTGCGTGTTTTTTTTTTTTTTTTTTCCTACACTTCATTTTAATGCAAAATTCCATGGTCTATGATGATTCTTTTTGAAAAGTAAATAATACCCATTTCAAAATTATTTAATCGAAAAGTGATGATGGGATTATCTCAGGAATGAAATTTGGTGAAGTCCTTTAGTGTTTTAATGCATTTATCTAAAAGTGAGAAATACGGTCAAAATCAACAATGTTCAACAATGATATTTGAATTTAATGAGATATTGATAACTAAAAAAAATAAAAATCATTTTGGGTTGATTTTGCCAACAATGTTCAAAATTACTAAGAAGGCTTCCAAGAATATTAAGACCCTTTGTTTAAATATTCTGTTAGAGTGTTTTTTTTTTTTTTTTTTTTTTTTTTACTCTATAGGTCCCTAGGACACTTAAATTCAATCTAAATAACAATAAGGAATTAAGCTATTAAAGTTTTTTTTTTTTTTATAACTTTTAAGTGTAACAGAATCACACATCCACTATTGCCTCGGAAGAGGAAGAAAATTAAATTGATGTTTTATAAAAATTTCTTTAACGGACTTTTAAGTCCTTATTATGTCAATGAAGGTTAGGCAGATTAATAGTAGTTTTTACCTAATTCTTGGTGTGAGTATAAGTTGCAAAACTCGATCAGGAAGGCCTTTCTTTTTGTAACCCTAAAAATAGATTGTAAGAAAAAGTAACGGAATTCCAGTTTTGGAAATTCGCAGCATTGAAGATGGGTTAAGCAACTGCAGAGAGCTACTACAGTAATTTGTCTGAAAAAGAGCAATTTCTGAAATCTATGGGAGCAGAAAATATAAGTCCAAATATGTAAAAGCATTTCTACAGGAGAAGCTACCAGCTTGGAAATATTACAAGCACTACAGGAGAAGCTACCAGCTTGGAATTATTACAAGCACTACAGGACCTTTTAGAGCACCGCGTTCTGCTGACGGATTGAGTCCCATTTTTCTTCAAAACCATTGGGATATGTGAGGGAACAAATGGGCTTTATCAATGATCTAGTTGGTAAAATGTTCAGCTCTTCAAGTGAGTGTGTCCGTGTTCGAAATCCTCCTCCCCTAGTTCGAGAGAATAAACAAATATATAAATAATAAATAATAATAAAAAAGTGATGGAACAAATTGTGACTTCCTGCAATGTTTGGGGGAAAAGAAAAAAAAAAAAAAATGCAATGTGAATGTATGCATCCAAATAATTGTGGTCACATGGCAGGCTTGAACCCACTTTGCTGAACCCTTTCCAACAAGAGAGAGACCTTTTGAGCAAAGACACTGTTCTCTACCAGTTCCTGATCAAGCATGCATGAGAGATGAGTACCTTACGACGACCACGACAACAACAACAAAAAAACACATGCGCGCGCGCACACACGAAAAGTGAGTATAATAATTTCACAACTATGCATGTCAGATGACTCAGATGAAAGAAAGAGTTGGAGGATTATTGTACTTTGTTCTCCTCTCTAGTATTTTTTTAACCTTTTCATTAAAAATTTTAGTTGTAGATCCTAATTATTTCATGCGTGTCACAAATTTTACGTCAAATCAAATTGATATAAGAAAAATACTAAAGAATCATAAATGCACAATTATGTATTTGTATCAACAACATACAAAATCAAATCAACTGTCAAGTTGAACAAAGAGAGGAGGAAAAAACAAGAAGCAAGAACAAGATAAACTACCCGCTCGCCAAATATCGAGAAGCTTAACCGAATGATAAAAGGTGACTCCAATTTCTCCTAGTAGTGTTAAAAGGCTTTTGGTGAGGTTATATCATGATTTCAATATTTTTAGAGAATGAAATGAATAATCAGAGCTGATTTAATGAGTGCCTATACATCATTCTATGTACAACAGATACATACAAAATGAGTGTTGTGTATTAGAAGCCAACACTGGGCAAAAACGTTCCAACTACTGTGACAGAATCCAATATTTCCTATCCACTCAAAAATGTTGATAATGTCTAAAAGCAATGGAGGATATAGAGTTCCATGAAGCACATAACCCTTTTGGTACTTCATGTTATGGTAGAAAAAATTGTTAGGATACAAGAAGAGAAGCAATTAAAATATCTGATTAAATTCAATTAGAGATCCTAACTATACCGTGTGTGTCGTAAACTTAATAATATCAAATTAAACTGAGATCAAATAAGTGTCGCGGAAACATAGATGTCAATTATATACTGCATCAACGTTCACATCAAATATTCAGCTGAAATTTGAACAAATTAAGAGAGGAAGGAGGAACAAGATGAAGAGTTGCTTATCAAAAAAAATAAGACGAAGATTTTATGGTGAAAATATAAAGGGTTTGGATTAAGAAGGATACCTTCAATTTTGATTCAATTATAATAGAGTTTGGAGGTTTGAATACGAATTCGAACCATTGGATATGATTCAAATATGTAATCGAATTTTAATTGAGCAAGATTCTTGTCAGGAATAAGTTATTTAATAAGAATGGGATACAAGGACAAAAGTCTTACCTTTATGACTTCAACCAAGCAGTCCTTTGTAAACACTAAATTCTTGATTTATTTCTTCTTGAAATGTTGCTAATCTAAAAAAAGAAGATAACAATGAAAAGGGAATCAAGAGCTCACATATACATCAAGCACATAATAGAGAAAAGCATTTTGCCTCCATTAACAATTTTACAATTTCATCAAAACATAGAGGAATTATGATCAAATTTCACATTAAAATGCATAAATGCAACAAAGATCGATGTATATTCTGTAAATTTTATAGCAAGCCATATTGATTATTAAGAGCGGAAGAAGGAAGAATATAATTGTATCAACATCCACATAAAAAAATCAGCTGAAATTTGAACAAATTAAGAGCGGAAGAAGGAAGAATATATATAGTTTTATGGTGGATATATAAAGGAGTCAAATTAAGAAGGATACCTTCACGTATGCAAACCCTTGGGATGTGAGCAATCTTAGGCCAATCTTCACCCGTTTCCTTTTGGCATCTATCTTCTAGCTCCTGTGAACAACAACACATTTCCAGTTGTTGTAATGCGGTGAGCCGACGTATCCCTTCGGGCAGTGACTTCACACTCGAGCAAAGATCAATATCCAGATATTGAAGTGATGTGAGGTTGCCTATCCACTCTGGTAAACTTTCGAAATTTTCACAAGGTCCAATGGATAGAGATTAAAGAGTGGTAACGTGTTGAAGCCCCGCAGGAAGAGACTCCAACTCGGGGATGTGGATGCTCAGAGAAATTAGGTTCCAAAGGCCTTGAAAATGCATGCCATCATCAGTTTGAAGTGATGTGAGGTTGCCTATCCACTCTGGTAAACTTTCCAAATTTTCACAACCTGAAATGTATAGAGATTGGAGAGTGGTAAGGTGTTGAAGCCCCGCAGGAAGAGACTCCAACTTGGGGATCTTGGTTAGGTTCCTAAGGCCTTGAAAATGAATGCCATCATCTGACAAATCAAACTCTTGGCAGGACCGGATCTCCAGGGACATGAGGGCGGTGAGATGCCTCATCCCTCTGGACAGAGAGGTTAGTTTTGGACACTCTTCAATCTTTAGTTTTAGTAGAGAAGTGAATGCTTCCTCCGGCAGAGTAACTAGATCCTCAATGTAAGATATTTCCAGTTCCTCTAAGATATTTCCAGTAGTTGGGGTTTCCTTTGCCATCGTCAGTAACTGCTGTTGCACTACCTTCCCGCTGACTCTGTGAAATGTTAGTTTTACAACAGTTGGTTGCAGAGGCATTGATGTTAGCTGAGGGCAGCCATGAATCAGTGATTCAACAAGACAAGGAAATGATGGGTGTGATAATAGCTGCTGCTCATCTTGATTGTTTGCTGTTGATTGTTCTTCATCTTCTCCTAATTTACTCCTCCA